AGTGCAGGAACTGGAATTTGGTTCTTGTACTGTGTGGTGCCTGAAATTTGGGCACTGGTTTCTCTGCGGCTAGAATTTGGTTGCAGAGGTTTCCAAGAGCTGGAATTTGGTTCTTGGTGGAGAGTTAGAATAGGTGTAAGAGTGTGAGTCTGTAAAACATCTATTCTAGTGGAACCCAGCTGGAATTTGGCTGGAGACTGAACGTAGCCCTGGTTGTGGGTGAACCAGTATAAAATTACCGGTGAAATCTTTCCTAACCTTTCTCTCTTTAATTTCTGCTGCTGCACTTAAACTGTTTGATTGCTTTGTGATTTGTGAATTGATTAGTAAACTTAATTTTCGAATTAGATAATCTGTGTATTGCGAAAAACTTTCAAAAATCAATTCACCCCCCCTCTTGATTTAAAACTACTTTTCTAACAATTTTAATCGGTTCTTTCAAAACTATATCAGTTAAAAACATGTTTAAGAAAGCTTTTGTAAAAATACTTTGTTTTTAGTTGTTTAAAACGATTTTAGAGGCATTTCGCAAAATCTTTAAGTGAAGAACCTTCATGTAGCAGAAAAGATAAAATGATTTTACCTAAGCATTCTGTAGACACACTAATCCTTCTACTTTTTTATCTAAGTGACTTGTTGACCGCTACAAAGTTGACTTTTGACTTTATCTTTGACTTCATCAAATCAATGAGATCTTTGCCAAATTATTTCAATAAGATCTTCATCACTTTCACTAACCACTTTTAAAAATATATTTTAAATAGCGGTTAACGTGGAACCGCTATTTTAAATAGTGACCCATATATAGTTGGACCGTGGTCAATTCTTGCTCAAGCAAGACATTCATCGCTTGAGCGAAGAAATTTATAATCGATTATAACGTGAAATAATCGATCATAATTTTAAAATAATCGAATTGACCAAGCTAAACGTCCAACGCAGTTAGCCATATAATGCAACTTGGGTCACCACAAATTTCAATCACTTATCACTCAAGCGAAAGTACCCGTGCTTGAGCGAGACAGAACCCGAGAGTCCCCCTTGTTTGACCGAATGATGAAACGTCAAACACAGTTAGCCAAATAATATAACTTGGTTCACCACATATTAGAATCACTTGTCGCTCAAGCGTTCATAACGTCGCTTGAGCAAGCAAGAACCCGAGAATCACCCATTTTTCCAGGTGTCCTCGCTCAAGCGATGTGTTTTTCGCTTGAGTAACCTGAGATAGCGGTTAATAAGAACCGCTTTTAAATATATATGAGATAGCGGTTTACATTTAACCGCTGTCTAACGTATGTTTATATTATCGGTTTTTTTATAACCGCTCTCTTATATCATACTTTTAAAGAGCGGTTGACTCGTGGAACGCTATAATAAATGTTGTTTAGATAGCGGTTGGCCAAATAACCGCTATCTAAAGTCATATATGTCAAAGTGATCGAATATAACTGGATAATAATCGATCATAATTTTCGATAACCGATTATAATTGAGAATGATCGATTATAGTTGGAGAACATCGATCATAGTTTGTGCTAAGCGATTATAGTTTTACATAATTTCGCTTTGTATCTCTCTCGCCGGCGCACGCAAAAGAAACGTTCGTTCTCTCCCGGCTCTGGTTCGTCTATGTTTAATATTGGGTTCTGTTCATTTGGTTTAGGGTTTAATATGGTTGTTGGTTTCGATTTTGAATTTTAATTTGATGGTTCATCTTGTTTGATTTCGTTTGCATTGTAAAGAATAATCATAAAGCAACCATGGAGGTTAATGTATTCTTTGCTTTCTAATTACTCGCAGATTCTCTGTTCTCTGTTTTCGTTCACTGTTGACTATTCTCAATAGTCGTAAACATAAACCATGGCTGGCAAAAGAAAAAGCTCCAAGCGCACCCACTCAGAAGCGACTTCTTCAAGTACCCAAACTGTGACCACGAAGGAGGTGATTGTTAGAAATGTAGACTGAGATCAAGAGGGGGGGTGAATTGATCTTTGAAAGATTTTCGCAATTAACAGATTATCTATTTGTAAAATTAAGATTTCAGATCTGTTCTTGAATCACACAGCAAGCAATCAAAAATAAATGCAGTAACAGAATTAAAAGAAGAGAAAGGTTTAGAAAGATATCACCAAGGTTTATACTGGTTCACCCAATCCCAGGGCTACGTCCAGTCTCCAGCCAAATTCCAGCTGGGTTCCACTAGATTGAATGTTTTACAGATTACAACCTTACACTCAATCTACCACAAGAACCACAATTCCAGTTCCTGCACCTAACCTTTCACCAAGAACCAAATTCCAGCTGCAGAGAAACCAGTGCCCACAATTCCAGGCACCAAACAATACAGAAAAGAATGTAAAGAAATGAAAAGAAGAAACTAGAATGCTCAAACCAGTTTTATGCAATTCTGCAGTATGTGTTTCTTCTTCAAAAGAAAGCAATTTGCCTCAAGAAAGAATTTCAAAGAACTTCACAAAAACTAGCGCGAATCTTTCTTGAAAGTAGTGCTAAAGTTTGCTTGATTGATTGCTAAAGGATGTGTAAAAGATGATATGTAAAAAGTTCAAGCAACTCTGTTTATATAGAAGATTTTCAAAACTGCTGGTTTAATTAATCTGTTAAAAGTCTAGTTTTAATCTGTTAAAACTTCTTTTAATCCATTAAAACGTTCTTGATTATTTTACAGATTTGTTTTAACTGATACGACAACGTTTATATCAATTAAAACTCTTTACAAAAAATCTTCTAATTTGTTTTAATCGATTGTTTCGTGTTTCAATCGATTAAAACACTGCAAAACTTTATTGTGAACTTTTCCAATTAACTGATAAAAATAAGTTTTAATCGATTAAAATGTTGTGTAGAAATTTTCTAAGTTGTTTTAATCGATTAAAAAAATTCTGATCGGTCATAACTCAATTCTGATCGATCATATCTGATTCTGATCGGTCATAATAGCATTCTGATCGATCATCCTGAACTCTAAGTGGTTTTAATCGATTAAAACTAAGTTGTATCGATTAAAATACTACAAAAACACTTCTCTGAACATTTTAAGTGATTTTAATCGGTTATTTCGAAACTGTATCAGTTAAAACACTGACAGAAGGTTTTCAAAAACTTTCTTAGTGAAAACAATCGGTTATTTCGAAATTATATCAGTTAAAAACTTGTTTAAGAAAGCTTTTGCCAAAATACTTTGTTTTTAACTATTTAAACATTTTTAGAGGCATTTTGCAAAATTTTTTAAGTGACGAAACCACATGCAGCAGAAAAGATAAAAATAATTATACCTAAGCATAGCTGCAGACACACTAATCCCTCTACTCTTTTATCTAAGTGACTTTTGTCCGCTACAAAGTTGCCTTTGACTTCATCTTTGACTTCATCAAATCAATAAGATCTTTGCCAAAGTATTTCAATAAGATCTTCATCACTTTCAGTGATAGTCCCAAAGGTGCTTGACACCCAATACTTTGTTAATAACGGATTTGACTTCATTAGAGATGGGCAAGTTCACACTCGCGTGAGGAAGGTCGAGGTCGACGAAGGAATGACAAAGTTCTGTGCTAGGAAAATGAGAATCGGAGAAGGAGGAGAGATGGGCAAGGGAATGAATTATTTAATAATAAAAACACTGTGCATTTAATATTTTTTTATTATGTATGTGTCACTTTTAAGAGCGGTTAACATTTTAACCGCTCTTAAAAGTGAACATATAATAGCGGTTCCACGTTAACCACTATCTAAAATATATTTTTAATAGCGGTTAGTTCTAGAATCGCTATCTAAAGTCTCGGGTCAATTATCGCTCAAGCGACGGGTATTTTCGCTTGAGCGAAAAAGTGATTGAAATATGTGGTGACCCAAGTTGCATTATGTGGCTAAACGTCCAACGTAGTTATTCACATAACGCAACTTGGGTCACCACATATTTTAATCACTTCTCGCTCAAGCGAAAATATCCGTCGTGTGAGCGAGAGTTGACTGGAGATAACCCTTTGTTACAGATTTTATCACTCAAGCGAGGGGTTTCTTCGCGTGAGCGAGAATTGACCCCCAGATTACCCCTTGTTACAGATTAACTCGCTCAAGCGAGGGGTTTCTTCGCTTGAGCGAGAGTTCATTGTGCGAAATAATCGATCATAATATAAAATAATCGATTATTTTAATACGTGAACAGTAAAGAGTGCTAGTTGTGTAAATAATGTTCTAGATGTGCTATTTTGGGAAATATTTTTAAAAATAGTATTATTTATGAAAAAAAGTCCCACAAGTAGAGATAAATGTTGAATCTGGTTTTGGAGGTTTGTTGAAGCTCCTTGTCTGTTTGTCCTAATAGAAGAACATAATCCAATTGTATGGTCATTGCTTTTGAAAATAAAACAAAACATTGGTTTGGAAGTATGTTAGCAATTCTCACTCTCTCACACACACTCATCCCACTCCCAAGCAAAACCGAGGGCAACGTTGTTTGTCTTTGTCAAGGCATGTTTGTTTTTACGTAGCCTTTCCGAATATTATAACTCTTTCGGCCAGCCCTGATTCCCTACCCACCTAAGGTTAAAGACAAAACAAACACGTTAAAGTAGAAGTTTTCGTCACAAAACAAACATGCCTTCTAGAGAGAGAAAACCATACTTTTACACTCACTTTTACCTTTCTCATCTTCTTCTTCTTTCTATTTGCAGTCTTTCATTAAATTTGTAAGAAAAATCATGAATGTTTTCTTTATTAGCATTGATAGACACGAATGGTAATAGTTTACATCTTTTGATAAAAAATTTATATCTTCATTTAATATGTCTTTTACTATTAATAGTTCAAGTGTTTGATTTTAGACCAAAATTAGGTTTTTTATTCAGTGAATTTAGATAAATTATGAGGGATAGAAACAGCACATTGAAATGATTGATTTTTAAACTTTAAAAGAAATGGAAAAATAAAATGTAACTGTTTGTTTAGCTTTTACAGGAAGATAGAGAAATTTCCAAGAGTCAGAAATTCCACACTCCACTGAGGTGTGAAGGACAACAAACCAATAAAGACAAAAGGGACCCTTCACGCATTGTCGACAACGTAGTCATGAACAAGTAGCTGAAACCAGAAGAAGGGTCCAAACATTGAAACTCACTCCCATAGAAGCAGAACAACAAACCCATTATGATTCTGGTTTTTTCAGTATTCCAAGAGGCAAGTTTTGGAATTTTCTGGGGGCTTCGTCTGGATTGTTCTTCAATTTGAAAACCCACCAAGGGATAAGCGTTTCCTCGCTGCAATGCAATCCTCTGTTGCTGACCTGGTTTTGGTAAGTTCCATCTTCTTCTTGTAACGGCTTCCATGTTTTTCTCCATGCTTTTTTGCTGAATTGGTGGAAAAGTCTTGGGACCTTTCAGTTTCTGAGATTATAAAACCGAAATAAGGCTTGAGGCTTGTTGAGTTTTTTTTTTTTTTTATCAAAATTTGAACCTGGGTTGTGCAGGTTCTTATGCACAAATCCTTTTCTTCTTTGCTTGTCGTACTTTGCTTTGAATTTGTGCTTTCTTCCTTATTCTGTCTTCATTCATTAGCTTCTTCATTCGTGTCCCATGTGTTGTAAAACTTGAGATTTTGTATCTGAATGAATCTGATTTTTGAAGATTTTTTTTATCCATTAGTTTGTCTGTGACTACATTCTGCCTCTTTTCATTGTTTCCAAATTCCTAAGATTGTTGTTATCATTGTTTCATGGGATTTATGCGGCAAGAAGAAGGGTCGTCTTCTGTAATTTCTTCACCCCTGCAGCTCTTCTCCATGATGTCACTTTCACCCAGCTTAGGTTCTCCCAACAATGCCTTGCTTAGAGAAATGAAATCCGAGGAAAGGGGTTTGTACTTGATCCATTTGTTGCTCACTTGTGCAAATCATGTAGCTGCTGGTAACCTTGAAAATGCAAACACCACACTTGAGCAAATTTCAGTGCTTGCTTCCCCGGATGGGGATACTATGCAGCGAATCGCCACTTATTTTATGGAATCGCTTGCAGATCGGATTCTGAAAACATGGCCCGGGATCCACAGAGCGCTCAACTCAACTAGAGTGACTATGCTATCTGAAGAAATTCTTGTTCAGAAGCTCTTCTTTGAGCTTTTCCCTTTCTTGAAGGTGGCATATGTTCTAACAAATCAGGCCATCATTGAGGCAATGGAAGGGGAGAAAGTGATTCACATAATTGATCTCAATGCTGCTGAAGCTGCTCAGTGGATTGCTCTCCTTCAAGTTTTGAGTGCGCGTCCCGAAGGCCCTCCTCATTTGAGAATCACTGGGATTCATCAGAAAAAGGAGATTCTGGATCAGGTAGCTCATAGACTAACTGAAGAAGCAGAAAAGTTGGATATACCATTCCAATTCAACCCTGTAGTCAGCAAACTAGAAAATCTTGATTTTGACAAACTTCGTGTGAAAACTGGGGAAGCACTAGCAATAAGTTCCATTCTCCAATTACATTCCCTCTTGGCCTGGGATGATGAGGCCTTACGGAGGAAATCTCCTCTTCTGTTAAAAGGCTCAAACGGAATTAACCTGCAAAGAGTCTTGCCACTGAGCCAAAGCACATTGGGGGATTTACTTGAGAAAGATGTGGTTAACGGGTACACCCCAAGTCCCGACTCAACCTCATCATCACCAGCATCTTTAGCTACTTCGAATTCAATAAATATGGAGAGCTTTCTTAATGCCTTATGGGGTTTATCACCAAAGGTCATGGTTGTGACGGAGCAAGACTGTAACCATAATGGTCCAACTCTGATGGATAGGCTACTTGAAGCACTGTATTCTTATGCAGCATTGTTTGATTGTTTGGAATCCACTGTCTCAAGAACATCATTGGAGAGATTAAGGGTGGAGAAGATGATTTTTGGGGAGGAAATAAAGAACATCATTGCATGTGAGGGGCCTGAAAGAAAGCAGAGACATGAAAAGCTTGACAAGTGGTTCCAGAGATTTGATCTAGCTGGGTTTGGTAATGTGCCTTTGAGCTACTATGGTATGTTGCAAGCAAGGAGGTTCATCCAGAGCTATGGTTGTGAAGGATATAGAATGAGGGATGAAAATGGTTGCGTATTAATCTGCTGGCAGGATCGGCCAATGTTTTCAATATCAGCTTGGAGATCTAGGAAGTAAGAGAATTAAATGGGTAGATTGATGGTCTTTTTTCCTTTTTTCTTTTCATTGCATGACAGTGTTTTATCCTTATGGTGATGACTATTCTTCAAGATCGGTTTTTAGAGATACTCTTTATTCATTGCCTGGTAAAAACCCCATCAAGAGAGAAAGTTGGGAGGACAAAGAAAGGTTGAAGGACAGAAGATTTGAGGATTTAATCGTGGTTGTTTATGGTTTAATTTTTTTTACTGCTGATCATTTTATTTTTTTATGAACTCCTGTACCCTAACTTGTATCTAGTATATTATATTATATATAAAATATGTTTTTGTTAACTTAATGGTTTAGAGTAAGTTAATATTCAAAATTGTAGGACATGTGTCGGTTTTCTTTCAGCGAATGTTGCAAGTTGGCTTTTAGTGGATTTGGATGAGCCCTGAAAAAGCATTGCCATACAAGGGTGCTCAAGAAATTAAGTGGTTCATTCCTAATATGTTCCACACATGCATACACTCTGTTTGTGCTTCGGTCATTGTGACGACTGCCAAATGTCACGTTTGAAAGATTGGTGAATTGTTTGTCGTTGGATATTTCCTGTACTGGTGACAGATGAGGCTATTGGCTTCAATGCTTTTGACTTTAGCATGATATGATGCATCCCAACACAGCCACACACTCACCCCAAAATAAAAACACCACCTCCCCATGTCATCTTTTCTTGTGTTTTGCTTTTTTGGTTGGTGTGGTGGCTGTTGGAAAATTGGGGCGTGTAATCAATTCACAAACAATATTTAAATAATTGGGGTGTGCTGAAGTTTTGTTGTTGACTAAATACGACACTTTTTGAAAGTGCTGAAGGAGCATTGTGCTGTCAGACAGGTAGTCAATTAATAATAAGGTAATATCTCTCATCACACAGGCTTTTCTGAGGAGCACCAAGAATCCTTCCTCTTTGAGCTCACACTTCATCTTTATCAAAACATGTTCACAACTGTTTTTGACAACACATTCAAACATTTTCCATGGCTGAGATTCTAAGCCTTTCATAAAGCTGAAGAGCATCTCGACCCTGTAAGAGGAACTTTGCTTTTTCAATTGGTCATAATTCTTGCGTGAATTGGGCGTCAGAATTTATTCATCCGTATTAGGCTTGTCATGATTTTTTTTAGAGGGGAATCAATCACCCTATTATAAGAATTAAGATCATATTTTAGATGCATATGTTTCTGATATAATTGAATCCCTTAAATTCTCAAATTAGACATTTATAGGTATGGTTAGAATAGATTAGAGATATTTCATTTTAAGCTTTTCTAACGTTTTATTATTTTCCCAAATTTGCTTTAGAAAAGCATAGGTATGAAACCAGTGAATTTTTAGAATAATTTGGGCCCACAATTAAGCCCACCCACCAGGGTAACATGCTAGCTTTGGGCTAAGACTGTCCCAAGTTGGACCTATCATTCAACGGCCCAACTTATCAATATGATTTATTGAGTAGCCAGTGAAACATATAATATGATTTATTAGGTTTCGCGTGAATTACTCCTGATAATAAAGTACATTAAAAAACATGTCATTAATTTTTTTTTCATTACGATGCTACAGTAAAACAAATTGTATTTATATGATTACTATTGTACAATAAAGAAAGATATTAAAAAGAAAAAGAAACGTGTGTCGTAAGATAACATAATTGATTTGATATTGTGATGTAGAGAGATAAAGGAACAAAATATGGTATAAATAGCATAATTGCTAACATTATTATAGTGGAAGAAAAAGTTGAGATGAATTTTTGTTTTTACATTAAAATGAGTCCCGTGCATCTAACTACTATCATATCAAGCAAGGTTTCAATTCCAACAACAAAAAATGGAGAGTTCGTTTTCAATGAATAGTGATGATAACACCAAAAGTAGCATGGTTGTAAAATACGGGTATGTGTTTAATATTCCACCTACCATCTTTCTTTTTTTGGTTTTTGGGTCCAAATTTCCCCACTCTCACTTAATTCAGTAGTACTCTAAATGACAAAAATGATGATTGCCCAAAGCTTTTGTGCCCCATTTTTGTTTGGTTTTCCTTATGAATATCTATTTATTAGACATTTATCTTTCTAAATATGAGTATTGGTAGGAGGAAATTACACAGATCTACTTAAAATCTGAAGGAAGTAGATAGCATAATAAATGTCCAGGGTATGGCAGAAGAAACAAAAGTTATGCATTGTCGAGTTAATAGTACAATATGATGATGATATGGAAAGTTATTTGCTTATTCACTTATTTTTGCAGAAGGAGAGGATGCTTCGTAGCCACTATATCAAGGAATCACTTGTTCAATCATTTGGCACTCGGAGGGATTTTAATAGCTGAAAGAACAACACAACTTTCATGTCATCTTCTTTTTATATAAATTTTCTCATTATCTTTTATTTTAATCATCCTTCAGAGTCGAGGTAAAAGACAAATATTAAATCCGTTATAAGAATGAAGTATATATATAAACTATATCTGATGTTAACTTTTAAAGAAACTCGGAAAAATATCATAACATAATAAAAATATAGGATTGAAGCGAGATTTATCACGATATCTAAAACTGAAAATTAAGTTTGATAGAAGATGTTACCTCCACATTGCATTCCTGGGGGAAGGTTCAAACCACAGGAGCGTCCAACAAAGACAGACTTTGGAATACTGATAAGGCTTGCAACTTCTTTGGTGATGAGTTTGCATGCGCATGGCACATCAATTTTTCTCACAACTGCACAGCATGCTGCTGAAGGTTTTATCATTGGTCCCGTTTTCTGCACATACTTTGAACACTGCGATACAAGATCATTCACACTTACTCCACATTGTGCTGAAACCTCTTTTGTGTTACACATTAAACATCCTGCAACCACCAACACTGCCACTGTCACGTAAGTGCTACCACTTCCCATGTTTTTTCTTACAATTGTAAAACAAATCACACAATATTGTGCCGCACCAATGCTTAGAAAATGGCCTAAGCATTTATATAGAGGTTGGAATACGAAGAAATACAACTTCGAAATTTTCGTAGTTTGTTTCTTTTTAAATGTCATCAACATCGTGAGGAACTACGCCATGATCATAGAATTCAACGAGCACAAGGAAAGAAAAATATCAAATTGAGGATATAATTGTCATTTTACTTTACATTGACAACATGGGAGAACTCAAAAAGATAGATCTTATCTGTTTTGAGTGAAAAAGAAAGAAAAGCAAATCATGCAGCCCTTTATGCTTTATGAGGCTGAATGAAAAGCATACAAAAAGATAGAAACAAAAAATAATTATGCTGTTGTTTGAAACATTTAGAAACCGATATTCAATTCAATACTACAAAATTAACTTAAATAATATCGAAGAGATTTTGTGACAATTCTTTGTATCGAGAAAATTTTTTTAAGGAAGATTTTTTCATATGTTTGAATATTATTAGAATTGGTTAATGTACCATATTAAAAGTAGTAAAACATTTAATTTAATTCTTAAAAAATTGATTTGATAAATAAATATTTTACTCGTTTATATATTATATATATAAATATTATATTTTTAATCAATACAAGATCTGAATAAATATAATTTTATAAAAAATATTTAATTTTCTTATTTGAATAACTTTCAATTATTTTTTGTCATCAAAATATAACTGAATATTGTAGTCCTAGTACTTTAACTATATACAATAGGTTGGTTATCTATTTACTTATACATCCCCACTAATATTCTCTGAATTTTTTTATATATTTTCCATCGGCTATATTGTACTATTTGTGTAGTTTGTGAAATATTTAAGTGGCAAAATAGTTTGACTGGTGCAACATCATAAACCTTTTAGTAATGAAAGGGTATTTAAAAAAAAAAAAAAGTGCAGATAGAAATTACTAAACTATGGTCTCCAAAAATCAATAACCTCTAAAAAATAAAGCCTGGTTCATTTTGAAAATTACCATACAGAACTCTACAGATCCAGATTTGGCACTGATTGTATCAAGCACTTCACTCATATTTATCATCACTCATGCTCAGGAATATATCAATCTTTAGGCAAAAAATAATGTAAACATAAAAAGAAAAAGAAAAACTTTAACATAATTTTATATTTTGACAATGTTAAAAAAATAATAGTGAAATGGGAAAAAAAATTGGAGTATAAAGAAGAGAGAAAGTTTTTTACTTTTTTAATTTTAAAATGATATTAAAGTTAAGTATAATAATTGTTATTGACTTTATTGAATCATTTATTCTGTCGAATTATTCATGAATATTTACTTTTGTGAATTTCATATGTTCAACTCTCAAATTTCTTTAAAAAAAACTTACTTGTTAATTAGTGATGTAACCAATATCTTATATTTGTCTCATGCAATTCTTCTGTTTTCATCCAAATGTTTTTTTAGTCTAATTAGGTATTAACTTTTGACACAAATAAGATTATCTCGTTTAAAGAAAGTGGAAAACGATAAGAATAGGTTAATTGTAGTAATAAGTTAAAATGGTTATTAAAGTTAATTAATTGATATAAATTAACCATCATTTTATTTTCTAGAATTGTAATCGATAAACAAAACTGAACCTAATAAAGTAAATAAGATACTAAAAATATTCTTTTAATTATTTTTAATGTCATCGTTTAATAATTATTTTTTATTTTCATATACTAATATACAAAATGAATTTCATTTTTTAATTGTTTTTTATTATTTAATGGATTATATTTTTATAGTTTTACTAAATTAAAATAAAAACTTAATGCTATAATAAATCATAAATTAATAATCATTTTTCTCTAAAAAAACAACCATTTTGTTAACGGGTAGTTTCTTAAAAACCTTATAACTTAAATTAATTACAAATGTTTCATCTTTCTTATATTTAATCTTCTTTTATTTCCTATATAAATTAAATAATTAAAAATCACCAACTTTATATTACTCTCACTCTTATATAAAAGAAAATAAACAACAATAATTAAAAATTATCTTCTTTCCTTTTTTTTTCCCATCTCCAAATTTTTCTACAATATTAAACGTAAATAATAAATAAAATTAATTACAATTTTGTTTTTACTCACGTTTTCTCTCTTTTGAATATGAATTAAATATATATGTTATAGATACAAAAATAATTAGAAACTATTTTATTTTTCTTCTATCACTCTTAAATTTGTTTTATCTCCCGTATAAATAAAACAATTAAAATTTATTCTTTCATCCGTATTTCTCTGTCAAATATAGATGAAAATAAACAAAATGATTAAAAAATATTTTAAACAACTAGTTTAGTGTACATATATTAAGACAATTTTATCCTTAAAAAAATAATTCTTTCCACTTTTAAAAAAGTAAAAATGAAAATATTCAATAACAAAATATAACTATACATTTGACCTCATCCTTGTCTTTTTTTAACTGTCACCAAAACTTTTCTCCCTTTAACATTCTTCTTCTTGTTACTTCATTGTAAAGAAATTTCACTTCAATTGTATATAACAGTGAAGCAAATCACTACATGAAATAATACATTTACGACACACACACACACACAAAAAAAAAAAAAAATATATATATATATATATATATATATATATATATATATCAGAAAAAAAATGATAAACATATATGATATAGATTTTCCAAATTTATTTTGTTAGTTTTGTATATTTTTTCTTTTACTATTCTTTTATCATAATCCATCAAAGCAAAAAGTATAGAATATGATTTATTCGTTCGTCTATTTGCTTTTTGTTATAATGTTTTATTTTTTATTTTTATGAGAAAAAAATTATATTTTAAATATTTATACAACGTGATGCATCTTTTATTTTTCCACACAATTTGTCTTTTAGTTTGTATTATTTTCTTCTTTGATTTATTTATTTATTTCAATTTTAAACCTAATTTATTTCAATTACCAAAAAACTCATATTTCAACCTTTTAAAACCTATTTTAAAATCACTTAAAAATCAGTTCATTTTTTATATTAATTTAAAATTAATAATAAAATTATATTTAACAAAATTAACGTTTGGTAAAATTAGATTATTCATTTTCTAAGTATTTATCTATTTAATTAATAGTAAAAAATGTTAAATTAATATTTTTAAACCAACGATTATTTTTTATATTTTTTAATTAGAAACTAATAATAAATTTATATTCTGAAATCATTTTTAAAGCGGTTCATTTTATATATTTGTTTAATTTAGAAATTAAAAATTAATTTATATTTTATTCAAATTATCATTTATTAATAAATATTTATATATACAAACTTATAAAGAATACATAACATTTGTAAACTGTTATTGATAATTAAGAAACGATTAACAATAAAAAATAAAATATTAAATACGGTTATTCAAACTTAAACACTTTTAAAAAGTAATTGTTATTTAAAAAAATTAATTTATTAATCATTTTCTTAAAATTAATAATATATTTAACCGTTTTTAATTAATTATTTTAAATTAATAATATAAATTTAATTTTTAAACTTATTATCTTTTTAATTATAAATTTATATTATAACAACTTTGAAAACTATTAATTGTATATATGTTTTTATTTATAATTATTAATAAAGTCATGTTTTAAATTTTTTTAAAAGTACCATATATTAAAAATTTATATATAAAAACTTATAAACAAAAGCTAGAATTTTTATGGTAATTAAAAAGTGTTTAAAAATAAAAATAATTAAAACTTATATACAGTTACACAAATTTAACAATAAAAAATTAAAAAAATATTTACCGTTATCAAGACAGTTTTAAATAAATAACTTATATATTTAAAATCTTTCAATTTATGAATTGAAACTAATTTTGTCTTATGATACTATTTTAAAATTTTTCTTAATTCTAACTAAAATATTTTGATAATTTAGGTTTTTTATGAATTTTTTTAAAGCATGTGTCTATAAAAATAGAAGTAAAAACAATATATAATTACATAATTTGTAATATTATCAATGCATTTTTATTGAAATAGTAAATCTTATATGCAGTTAATTATTTTGAAAACTACATTCATTCTTTAATATTTAAATTTATTATTTAATAGTAAAACACATTTTAAAACCAGTTTTAAGTTTTTTAACAGTTACTGTTAACAATAAATTAACACACACACACACATATATATATATATATATATATATATATATATATATATATATATATTATCTTCTAAACTTAATTCAATATTTTTTTAAAAATTAAATATTGAATATCAAAGCAAACAATATGTAAAATATGTTTATTCCGATTGTATTAATATAGGAGAGATAAAATATTGGTAGAGAATGTCTAAATTAAAAGTCTCATATCTCTTCAAAATTAAAACCATTTTATTAATATATGAAAATTATTCCTTTTATCTATTAATACTTCTTTTAATTAACATAAAATTAGGACAAAATTATTGAAGATTAAAATTAACAAGAATAACTTGATTTATAATGACCTGAGTAATAGTTAAAAGATTTTTTTGCTAAAAAAACATAACTAAATTATTTTAAGGTTTATATTTTAATATTTTTATTCTAAAATTATGACTTAGAATATATTATTTAAATTATTTAATAAACGAATTAATTGTATAAATTAACATTAACAAATTATTAATTAAAATATAAAAAATAATCAATATTATCAATATCATCGCTAATATATTATTATTATTATTATTATTATTATTATTATTATTATTATTATTATTATTATTATTATTAGATGAACTAATTGGGCCTTCATTTAACATGTTTGGATACAATGGAAAGAAAAGGGTGTGATAAGTAATTAAAGGCTATTATTATAATATGATATGTTATTTAGTTTATGTTTTAATAGATAATTAAGACAATATTTGTTGTGTAATAAACTGGTAGGGATAATATTTTTCTCTCTCACTTCATCTTAATCAAATGTCGAAGATGTATTCCACGAAGAAGAAGATGTTTCATTATTTCAAACCAGGTACACTTCTCATGGATTAAATTCTCTATTGTCAAAGGCATACACCACAGCATGTATCTATGTGATTCTATGATGTTAGGTTTATAGATATGTTTTTATCAATTGGTGTAAACGATCAAAGGCATACACCATAACATGTATCTGTGTGATTACGATTCTATGATGTTAGGTTTATAGATATGTTTTTATCAATTGGTGTAAACGATCTTAGGTTTATAGATATATTTTTTATCAATCGGTGTAGACACAATTTTAATTGTTCATTGGTTTGATTATTGAATGTTCAAACACATGTGATTCTCCTTGTGTATTGAAAAATGTTATTCAGAAATCTCTAAAAATAATTGATAATAATTTTATTTATGATATATTTGCATACAGAATTTATCTATAAAAAAGAATGATAATAAAATACAATTTAGAGATTTTGTTTATCAAATTTATATAGATAAATATAATTATCATTGTACTGGTTGATTTTGTTAAATTAAGTTAAGTCTTATACAAATTTTAAGTAATGTCAGAGTCAATTATAGTGATATTGAAATATGAAAATCCTGTCTTGATACTACAAAATAATATGACATAATAAAAAAATCATTATCAAATGAGAATATGAGATGAATAGATGTGATGAAATTTTATATAAACTAGATAAACATTAATATTAGTATATAAATTGAATATAATTCTAACCCTAATAAGTTTATTGAGTTAGATATATCACCATTTTTTACTAGTATATAGAATATATTTTAAGTCATTTTAACAAATTCTTCACACTTGTTTCAATATTGATATAACGCAAACACCAAAATAGTTTGATATATTTACATTAGGTATTTTTTATTTCAAGTCATCCGAAATCGTTTAAATGTGAATTTCTTTATATTTATTTGTAAATTTAACTTTGGTTGCATCACTTGTAAGTATGGAAAAAAAAATATGTATATAAACTATTTTATATATATATATATATATATCATAAAATCGTCTTAATATACATTAATGGTTTATTAGTGGTTGAAGGATGGATCGGGTAAGACTATGATTCCATCTTTAAAAATGTTAATGTTCTGTCTAGGAACATGAATGTCTTGATTTCATGTTTATTGTGATTATCCATATAAAATCACCTTTACAGATAAGAGATTGATATCACCTTCACAGATAAGAGATTGACACCATCTTTACACATAAGAAATTGACATCACCTTCAATTTAAAACTTAAAAACATTGATTTATAAGTACTTTTCCTTAGACTCACATTTATATTTCTCAACTGGTCAATGTCATGTCAAATATATTATTTATTTTGGAACTTTAATCTATCATGATTTCATCCTTGAAAGACATCTTGGTGTATTGTGAAAAAAATGATATACATAAATCACCCTAAACCTCAACTATTGAGTGAAACTCATAAACGTATCAAATATATAGTCATCTTGTCAATAATTAACAAGTAAAATTGAAATGAGACTTATAGTCAAATGACGAACACTAATTACTTTAGTAGAAATAATTGAAATCATTTTTCAATAAGTAATTATAGTAAAAAAAATAGTTAAATCCCTTATTTCGGTTATTTTTCCTTATTACTAGATCAATAATAATCATTAACCTAATGATTTGAAAATAAGTAGGATAATTAAAATAAATTAGAGATATTATTATATATTTTTCACCTTTATGCCTAATCTCACTTATTTAAAAACTACTTCAAGGATAGTCAAGTACTTAACTTAATTTACATATTAAAAAAATAACTACAAAGAAAGGTATAACATATACCCTCCTTATAAAAACGATACAGGATAGACCTTCTTATTTAAATTGAACATGTAAAATAATAACCACAATGAAAGGTATAACAATATATCTCCTTAAAACAACATATAGGATAAACCTTCATATTTGAATTGAGCATGTAAGATAGATAGATCGTGGCACAAGTAAGTTAGACAATTTAATTTTTTATTCTTGGAAATTTATAGTTTATAATATAATGTTTGGTAATGATAAGATATTTCCCATAGAATATTTTTAAATTTTTGTCACATATTATTTCAATTCGTTTCAAAGTTTATAACCTCATTTTTTTGTAAATTCCTAATCTTATTTTAATTACACGTCGAATAACATGTGCAAGATCGTACTAATGAACATAATTGAATTATGTTTAATTTTTTTTATTAAACTTTTATGTTTATCAATTGAATTTGAAGTCTAACAATATGTATGAATGTGATCTAGAATTTTAGACTTTACATTTTTTTTATACCAAGGAATAATGTTAAGATTGAAAGGAATTAAATTAAGTAAATTACACACAACAGGAAAAGAAAGTCAATAGATACCTCGTTTTATTTTTATTTTAGTATTTTTTAAAATACATCTAAATTGTTGTTTTGTCTATATTTAATATACTAATTACAAGATAAATAATCAAAATAAAAATTTAAATCCTAATTAAAAAAATCATACAAACAAAATAAAATATTGAAATTAAATTTTTATTAAAGAAAGGTAGTACAGAACAATGATAACAGTTTGAAGATACAGAAATGCAGATAGAATAGCAACAGTGAAAAAGCAGCCAATTCATCATCCAACCAACTACAAACTGCTCTTCCTCTGAACAACTGCATTGTTTTTGTATATAATATTTTATTATTATAAAAAAAAACTATAGTATAAATTGGTAGGAAAAAGAATAGGGGTTTAAAATGTGAAGAATTTGTTCTTACAATTGGTTTCTCTTCTCTCCCTGGTCCGCGCTAGTTGGTTTGACCCACTTTAGAGAGGGGAGAGACTCCTTTACATTGTGTTTTCCTTTCTCTCTCCTCCGTTGCACTTCCTTTCCTTCATTTCAATTCCCAAACACTCTCAATTGCTTTCTATTCTTCTTCTGCACCCTGCAGCACCACAAGGGTTTGATTTTCTCTCTTCCCTCACTTTCATTTTTGATCAATTCTTTAGTCTGTTTCATCATTCCCCTTACTATTGCTCAGGCGATCACTCCGTGTTAGGATTGCAGTGTCGCGATGGAGTTTGTGGGGAGGACAGTTAGGAAAGAGGTGAAGGGGGTTGGGTTTATCTCGGGAACAGTGAAATCCTATGACCCTTCCTCTGGTTTTTTCGAGATCGTCTACGAAGATGGTGATTCTGAGGAGTTGGAGTCATCTGACGCGACTTCTCTCTTGCAATTCCAACCGGAGAGTGTCAAGGCTAAGCCTCGGGTTGGTCGGAAACCTAAGAAGCGCCGCCGCTTTGAGCGGAAGAGTGATGCTGGAACCTGTCCGGGCAATGTTAGCGAGAATTTGGTGGGGGAAGGTAGTGATATTAGGGGGGTTTTGGATGAAGATGTTTCTTCTGCCAGTGGTGGGGATTTGGATTTGGATAGTGGGGGGTCAGAGAGAGTCTTGGATGGTATAACTGGGAATGGAGGGAATCTTGAGGGCAATGTTAGTGGGACTGTGGAGACAAATGGGGGTAGAGAAACTCTTAGAGAGGAGATTGGTTTAGAAGATAGATTGAACAAAAGTTTATCCGGTAATGGTAGTTGTGTTAAAGATGGACTTGATTTGAATGCTAGGCTTAATCTAGATGAGGATTTAAATTCAAATGATGGGTGTAATTTGCCTCTTGACACTGGTTTGAAGAGAAGAGATTGCATTGATTTAAACTTGGATGTGAGTAATGAGGATGATGTTGGCCTGAATGTGGGTCACTTGGGTAGTTTGGTAGGGGAGGTAATGCAGCGGGAATGTAACTTTGATTTGAATGTGGAGGTAGAATGTGAAGAAGGTAAGGAAACTAGATGTCCTGACGAAGGAAATGGACATTCTGGTGTGGCTGATGTCTTGTTTGGTAAGATGGGGCAATTGCAAAGGGAAGAGGTAAATGTTAATAATAGTTCTGTGGAAGATAATGTTGTCAACTGTAATTTGAATCATACCTTTGATGCTGTCTCTGAGGGAATTCATGTTTCTCCTGATCGTCAAGCTAAAGATGTTTCTTTGTGTTTGGTTGAGGAAAATGGAGGTGATGATGGCACAGAGGACACGGAAACCATTAATTCTCATCAGATTTCAAATGCAATTTCGCTTAGGGATTCTAATTCTGGAGAGGCTCAGCAAGTTGATTGTCCTTCTGAAGGTGGCATTGCCATAACTCATGAATACCAAGATGATCCAGGAAGTCCATGCAAACAAGAAAAATTCCAAGAGGTTCCAGGAAGTCCATGCAAACAAGAAAATTTCCAAGATATTCCAGGAAGTCCATACAAACAAGATAATGGCAGAAGGAAAAGAAGAAAATTATCAGATAATCCCGAAGGCACACCAGAGACTGTATTAAGGAGGAGTTCTCGGCGGGCATCAGCTAGAAAACGGCTTTCAAGCACCATACTAGTGGAGGTGGCTGGTGATCCTTTGTTAAGCTTGGGAACCCGTGCCTTAACAGAAGAAAAGCCTTTAATCCGCGATTCTCAGAAACCTGAGCAATATAATGATTCTGGGAGATACGAACAATACAACAATCCTCTTCCAAAGCTGCAATTGCCCCCATCTTCCAGAAATTTGAATTTAGATGGTGTTCCTGTTCTTGAACTTTTTTCTATTTATGCTTGTTTAAGATCGTTCAGTACTTTATTATTTTTGAGTCCATTTGAGTTGGAGGATCTTGTAGCTGCACTGAAGTCTGAAATCCCATGTATATTATTTGACAATATTCATGTTTCTATTTTGCAAACTCTGAGAAAGCATTTGGAATACCTTTCCAGTGAGGGTAGCCAATCTGCATCCAATTGCCTGCGGTATATTTATTTAATTTTCCATTGGTCATACTATTATACTAGTCAATCTATTTGACTACGTTGTCCTTACAAGTTCTCCATTTTTATATTTTATTTTAATGCAGGAATCTTAACTGGGATTTTTTGGACCTGGTCACATGGCCTATTTTCATGTCCGAGTACCTTCTGATCCATGGCTCAGGATTTAAAACTGGTTTTGATCTTAAACATCTAATGTTCAGAACTGATTACTACAAACAACCTGTAATGGTGAAGGTCGAGATTCTTCAGTATCTGTGTGATGATATGATTGAATCGGAATCCATAAGGTCAGAGCTTAACAGAAGATCTTTGGTGACCGAGAACGAAATGGGTTTTGATCAGAGTATGTATTTTGACGCTTCCAAGAAAAGAAGAGCTGTAATGGATGTGTCTGGTGGCTCCTGCTTGACTGAGGAGAATGTGGATGACACAACTGACTGGAACAGTGATGAATGTTGCCTGTGCAAGATGGACGGTAGTTTAATATGCTGTGATGGGTGCCCTGCAGCATTTCACTCACGATGTGTGGGAATTGCCAGTGACAAACTTCCTGAAGGTGACTGGTATTGCCCTGAGTGTGGAATTGGCAAACACATGGCTTGGACGAAATCACGAAGGTCACTTCGAGGAGCAGACTTATTAGGGAAGGATATGGATGGCAGTATCTATTTCAACAGCTGCGATTACCTGTTAGTGTAAGTGTAGTTATACCCTTTTTCTGGATAAATTACATATTACTTTGTCTACCACTTGTTTCCTACCCTTATCTTGCTAAACATTCTTTATAAGCGACATCAAATGCTTCTATTGGAAATGGCTGTGTGACTTTCCGTTCAACATCTTGGCTGCTTGACAGCTTGTCCCACTGCTATTCCCATGTAATAGACAAGATTCAGGCAGGACATCTAACATATAGATTACCTGCAGTTTTGCTTGTCCTTGTCTGTTTGATAATTCTTTTATATCAGAGCTGACTCTTCACTAGATTTATTGTTTTCCATTGAAATTTTACATGGCCAGTGTTCTTGTCATTTTGAAAAATGCAAACCATATCTCTTAAGTCTAAAGTCTAAACTGCTCTGTGCCTGCCTCTTATCATCTTAGTACGATCTCATTCTATTTGAATGCTGAAACCTTTGCAGGTCAAACTCATCGGAAGCAGGGTCATTGTTCAATTACTACCACAGAAATGATATACCTGGAGTAATTGAAGCTCTAAAATCTATGAATCCTTTATATGAAGGCATACTAATGGCTATCTATAAGCATTGGGATATCAGAGCTAACTTGAGTGTGGGGGATAGTGTTTTCAATCAAAGTTCCAGCAAGGACATGTTGATGAAAGGAGAATATTCAACTATGCATACATCTTTTACTTCAGAGGCATGTCTGGACAAGAATCAGGCTAATGGTCAAAGAAAGTTGGACGAAAATTCAACTATTGACTGTTGTATGCAACTCGCCCAAGAGTTCCCAAAAGTTGGGAACCTCATAGGCTCAATGACCACCATAGAAAGTCCTTGTGTTGCTTCAGATGGATCAGCTGATACCACACAGATGAGAACAGGCATCGACAATGTTCAGATATATGGGTTCAATGATTCCGATAGATGTAATGAATCATTGAATCGGTCAGGAATTCCAGAAAGACGTAATCCTGTTGGTGACTGTTCTTTGACATCTTCCAGCTTGGATGTGGGACGTAAAATAAACTTAAGATCTGTAGGTGCCAGCAGTACCCCCTCCATGGACAATATGGATACTTCAGAAGCACCTCGTGGAATCGACTACATAAACTATTATAGCTTTGCCCGAACAGCTTCATTTGTTGCACAGGAGTTAATGTGTAAGTCACCTGAAAAGATGAATAAGGTTTTTGCAATGTCTGAAGAAGAAATTATTTCAGACCAAGCAAAGGTCATTATGAAGAAGTCTACTAACTTTTGTTGGCCAAGTATTCCCAACTTGGATGCAGTTTCCCAAAAAGAAAAATGTGGATGGTGCTTTACTTGCAAAGTTGCTAATGAAGACAGGGATTGTTTGTTTAATTCAGTTGTGAAGCCTGTTTGGGAAGTGTCTAATAGCACTTTAGTCGGTCTTCAACCCAGGAATATTCAGAATGGACATCTTAGAGATATCATATGTCTTATCTTCTCTCTTGAGGTCCGATTACGTGGGCTTTTGTTGGGTCCATGGTTGAATCTGCAGCAAACTAATCTTTGGCATAATGATCTTTTGAAGACGTCTGATTTTCATCATGTTAAACAATTATTGCTTCTTGTAAGGATATGCTTTCTCTTTGTCAATCATTTTTATTAAAGACCTGAATACTATGATTCTTTTATGTTTGTTTGATTACACGTTATGAGATTAGTATGACATCATTAAGTTCTTTTCCTCTTGCAATTACGGGAAGTCAAGTAAAAACAGAAAAGCATTATTGTTTATCCAAATATGGTTTTAATACTGCCCATGAGTGTGTGGTTGATATTTTTACTTGGAATGTGCTAAAGGTTTTATTTCCTTCTTCCTTTGTTTTTATTTGATAGATGAAGAATATATGATGTACATCTGGTGGGAGAAGGATCATTAATCCTCCTCCTAAAATGAATTAAGAGGAAAAATGTAGAGCCAAATTGGCTCGTAGATGCAACAGAGTTGTATAATTCTGCAAATCAGTAATAGCAATTTCCTTTACAACAATCTGTGCGGAGAACCATAGAGAGCTGTAAACAGAACCTATATCCAACAAATTTAAGATAGTTTGGTGCCCATATTTGGCTAGTGGTATATAAGTGATATGACTGATTGACAAAATAAATAATAAGTCAAAGAAACACCTTTTAAATGTGTATATGCTTCCATAAATGTTCACAGACAGATGTGTATCCTTTTACATTGTTTGCTTGTTATGCTGCCTTTGATATTAATGAAGCTGAAACTATGTTGTAGAATCTCTTGATCTCAAGACTGCTAGCAACAAAAGAAACACCTCTTTTCTGGCTAGCAGGCTAACATCACATGGCTTTTGGATTTACATTTTTCTCTGAATATTTCTGTTAAATGTCTGACACTGCATTTTTTATTTGGCAGTTAGAATCCAATTTGCGGCCATTTGCTCTTTCGCCAGATTGGTTAAAGCATGTGGATTCTGTTCCTACAATGGGATCCGCCATTCATATTGTGGTCAATTCATCACGCTCATATTCCAGGCATGGTATTGGAAAGAAAAGGGCCAGGTATTCGGATACTGAAACTAGTTCATCTTCAAACAGCGCTAGTGGTTTGGGGATGTATTGGTGGAGAGGTGGCAGGCTTTCCCGAAAATTGTTTAATTTGAAGGCTTTGCCTCACTCCTTGGTTACCAAGGCTGCTAGACAAGGTCTGTAAAGTGTTCTGTTATGTATTCCATGCATGGTGTTGTGTTAAGAGCCTATTTGTTTGAGATTTTGAAATTCCGCAGGTGGGTGTAGGAAGATACCAGGAATTCTATATCCTGAGAATTCAGACTTTGCCCGGAGAAGCAGATTTGTTGCTTGGCGAGCAGCTGTTGAGATGTCAACAACTGCTGAGCAGATTGCTTTACAGGTATGATTACCTGGCTTGTTGATGCTGATAATTGCTGTGGTATAAATTTAAGATTTGTTATGTTTGAGCAAAAACAGGGGGATTTCAAATAGGAGATTAGTTATCATCCAAAAGAAAGAAAGTAATAAACAAGGAATAGAAAGGTTTAAGCCTTTAAGAATGCTAGAAAGTTGTCTATTTCTTGCATGACAGAAAAATAATTAGATATTGGAAAATTCTGTTGTAACATCCATGAACTGAGCATGGTAGAGATGATCCTTATCCCAGAAGAAAGCTAGGATCAAAGAGATTTTGCTAAAGTTCAAGGCGTTCTGACTGACCTTATGAGAGAATTTGGAAAAAAACTAATTGTTACTAAATTTTCATATAAGTGGATCACATGAAGGTATAGGTAGAAATTGTTGAATTGATAAACCATCTTCCATGGGGGAAGAAAAGAAGGGTGTTTCCTCAAAGAAGGTGACATCAATAGACATATAATATGTTTTGGAAGATGGAGAATAACATTTATACCCTTTCTTAAGGCGAGAGTACCCAAAGAAAACACATTTAATGGTCTTAGCACTTAGTTTATCAAGGCCTGAAGATACATGGAAAAGAGAATCATCTGGGAAGATAAGAGAATGTGGATTTAATTTTTAAGAGAGGAAGATGACATCCAATTAATAAAAAAAACAAGCAGTGAGAACTGCATCTCCCCAATGATGAACAGGGACATTAACATTTAATATTAGAGAGCGTGCAGTCTTAATAAGATGTCTATTTTTCCTTTCTGCAATGTCATTTTTCTGTGGGGTGTGAGGACAAGTTGATTGATGTAAAATTCCTTGAGAAGATAAAAAAGAAAAGGAGGCGGAGAAATATTCTTTGGCATTATCACTTCTAAGAACTTTAATTATCTTCCCAAATTGATTTTTAATTTCATTGAAAAAGGACACAAAAATGGAGAAAAGTTCAGATCTGTCTTTCATTAAATAAACCCAAGTACATCTAGAAAATTCATCAATAAAGGTCACAAAATACCGAAAGCCAAAAAAGGAAATACAAATCGGTCCCCAAACATCAGAATGAATATTTGAAAAAGAAAAATTACAGGAGTTTCAGATTATTTAGGAGAAGTAAACCTAACATATTTTCCTAATTGACAAGATTTACACTCTAAAATCCGAAGATGTTGAAGATTAGGAGCCATCACTTTCAACTTAGATAGACTTGGGTGGTCCAGACGATCATGCATAAGTTTAGGGGTAGGAGAAACTAGACAAGACACCAAAAGACATGGTTTTAGAAGGTACAGACCACATGATTCATGTCCTTCTCCAATCAGATGACTCATATCATGTTCTTGAATAACAAAAGAATTGGAATTAAAGGTTACAGAACAATTCAAAGAACGAGTAAGTTGACTTAGAGAGATCAAGTTATAAGGGCAATTAAGAATGAAAAGAACAAAATTTAAATTTAGAGATGGGGTTAAAGGAATTTGGCCAACTCCTTGAGATTTCACTTTAGATCCATTAGCTACAGTGATGAAGTGAGGAGTTTTAGGATAGGACATGAAGGAAAACGAGGAACTATAACCAGATATATGATCAGAGGCACCTAAATCAAGAATCCATGGGTTCTGACTTTCCACAGATTGAGCTATGTAGTTGAAACACTTGGCATTAAAGAGGATTGACCCTGACTGCTAAACTTTCCAGATTTGAACTTCAAAAACTCTTGATACTCCTCATCAGAAATCTTCATATCTGGCTTCTCCAATTTAGATGCATGGGCAGTCTTGTCAAGAAAATCATGCAAGGAATAACAATTTTCCTGCGTGTGTCTCATCCTCTTATAATAGGAGCATTGAGAATGAACTTTCATACTACCACGTTCTCCTCGATTGTTGCGTCCTCCCCCTCAATCACGAGGAGCAACCATAGCAAAAGTTTCAATAGTCTCCACCTGATTCTCATCTTCCATGAGATTAGGAACCCGAATCAACCTAGTGAAAAAATTATCCATTGATGGAACCTGATTGCCAGCTAGGATTTGATCACGCATGTGATCAAAATAAGAATGCAAACTTCTCAAAATTAGAATCATATATAGCTTATCGAGTTTGGTGTTTAACTCCTCTAAGGTATTTGTTACAAAAAACCTTTTTAATTCTTCCACAGCAGCCCTAGCTTTTGCAATGTGAGCTATCATGTCGTTATTGGTCTGCTTAAATGACGTCACTCTTTGAGTTGCATCAAAGAGACGTTAAATATCATTAGCAAAAATGTCTTGAGCCTTTTCCGAAAAGGAAGAATAAGTTTTGAATGACCTGAGAAGCTCAAGAACTTCTGATTCCAGTGACTGCCATAAGATTGCACAAAGTTGAAAATCTATTTTCTCTCACTAAGATCTTTCTGCAACGGAAATAGAGTCTACATCCTTCTCCAAATGATCGTGATGCCTCTGATAAAAAAACCACAGCTCAACTGATGCAGATCAGGATAAGTAATTTTTCTAGTTGAGCCTGACACTAGTTATGGTGGGAGTAACAGAGAAGGTGAAGGCAGTGGATGACGTCATTTGAACTAGAAGAAAACACAAATAAAGCCAACGAATAGGGTTACCCACGGGACCTTTCACACACAATTCTCAAACCAAAAAACTAAAGGCACCACTGGACTCGAAAGATGTGCGCAAGTCGAACTGAGGTGGTCAGCCTTGATTCTGGCCACGGGAAGGCGGTGCGTGGGGTAGCTGACAGAGGAGAAACTTGCAGGGGTGGGTTACGCTCCTTGAGACGCGCAAATCCCCTTCTTCGCTGGTCCAAACGGAAACAGTGGTTGGCGGCCAGAGATGACGGAGGTGACCTAATATCAGTGTGGGATCTTACCTGCTTTGATACCAACTTGAGAAAACTTATTTAGGGTTTGATATAGTGACCAAAGGCACTACATTGTATTTATAGAAAAAGAGATACAATAGAAAGGATATGAACCTCAGTCCATATCCTTAACCCTAGTTTAAGGAACATACAAAAAGAATACAAAAGATATATGAACAAGAAATCTCAATAATATGTTGAAGTAATTACCCCGAACTTGGTTTGGAAAATTTAGTCATGTTGTGCAAATGTTTGGTATGAAAAGGAGTGAAACAGATCATTCAGTGTTTTATTGTCATACCTCTTCAGGGAAATGTGTTTATTTTATGGTTTATGTTTATGATATTGTTATTACAAGAAATGATTACACTAAGATTAGTCAATTGAAAAATCATCTATTTGGTCACTTCCAAACCAAAAATCTTGGTCTTTTGAAGTATTTTCTTGGTATTGAAGTAACTCAGTCAAAGGAAGGTGTGATCATTTTACAAAGGAAATATTCCCTTGACACTCTGAAGGAAACAAGTTTAATAAATTGTAAGCCTATTGATAGTCTAATGGATCCTAATCAGAAATTAATGAGAGACAAAGAGAATTTTTTTTAGATCCAGATAGATATAGGAGGTTGGTGGGAAAACTCATGTATCTCACTATTACCAAACCAAATATCTTCTTGCAATTGGAGTGGTTAGTCAATTCATGCAAAATCCTTGTGTTGATCATTGGAATGGTTTGATTCGTATTCTGAGATATGTTAAAGGGGCTCTAGGACAAGGATTGTTATATGAAGATAAAAGTAACACTCAAATACTATGTTATTGTGATGCATATTGGGTTGACTTTCCCATTGATAGAAGGTCTACTACGGGGTATTGTATATTTATTGGAGGAAATATGATTTCTTAGAAGAGTAAGAAGCAAAGTGGTGATGCCCGATCCAGTGCAAAAGTTGAGTATAGATCTATGACTCTTGCTATATGTGAACTTGTGTGGATTAAACAACTCATTCAAGAATTAAAATTGTGATAATGAGCAATTGTGATAATTAGGCGACTTTTCATATTGCCTCCAATCCAGTGTTTCATGAAAGAACAAAATATATTGAGATTGATTGTGATTTTGTCAGAGAGAAGTTATTGTCCAAGAAACTCCTTATTGAGTTTGTGAGCTCTAATGAGCAACTTGCAGACATTTTAACTAAATCCCTTAGAAGACCTAGGATTCAGTTCATATGTTCCAAACTTGGTGCATACAATCTATATGCTCCAACTTGAGGGGACTGTTGAGATATGTTCATGTTTTAGGGTTTAACTTTTTGTGTATATGCTCCTTAGACTAGGATTAAGGTTTTGGGCTAAGGCCCATATCTTCTTTTTGCATCTCTTCTTTATAAATACAACAGTAACAATGTCTTAACACACTCTATTGAAACCCTAAACAATTTTCTCAAGACTTGAGCTGCACTAGGAGAAGGTGCCACTTATGTCAACGTGTCTCTGCAGTATTATTCCCATCAATTAATATAAAGGGCTTGTTTATTGAGGAATTTTAAGATTTCCCAAAGGTTTTTATAAGGAAACCTGTCCCTTGTAGATATTAGAGAAAGAGTGAGAGACTGAAATTAGATTTGCTGCTTTTGTTGCAATCATTGTATCCAAAATGGAATAGAATGCTACTATCTGAATTTGAGGAGGACCCCATAACAAAGACAAATAATGAAATCTGGATATACACGTCGTTAGTAACTTTGTTCAACGTTACACTCTGACCTTTCATAGTTGGTATAAGCTGATGAACTTGTCTTGCTTTCATGTTATGAAATACATTTTAATATTAAGATAAACTATTTATGATTTCCAGGTTAGAGAGCTCTATTCGAACATAAGGTGGCTTGATATTGAGAACAATCATCCCCTATGTGTATTGGACAAGGAATCTCGAAAATCAGTCAGGCTGTTCAAAAAATCAATTGTACGCAGGAAGTGCACTGAAGGGCAATCTGTGAAATACCTTATTGATTTTGGAAAGAGAAGGGCTATTCCAGATGTTGTTCTTAAACATGGTTTTTTATTGGAACAATCCTCTAGTGAGAGGAAAAAATATTGGCTGGAGGAGTCTTATGTTCCAATGCACCTTCTAAAGAATTTTGAGGAAAAAAGAATTGTCCGCAAGTCCACTGATAAGAAACTTGGAAAAATTCTTGAGTTTGCTAGAGTAAAGAAGAAAATTCCTCAGCAAAGGGCATTTTCATATTTGTTTACCAGATTGGAAAGATCTGATTGTCATCGGTGTGAGCACTGCAACAAAGATATTGCAACGAGGTAATTTTGGTATTTTTTCTTGTTTTGACTAGTTATTTTTCTGTTATTTTATACATAGGTTTTCTTTTCTTTTGTATTTTACTCTTGTTCATGATATTTTTGTTTTAGTTGATTGAGGATGAGACTATGTTTAATCATGTTTACTGATGATCTTTTTTTGTTTGGTGACTAAAAGAAGAAATATTACACAGCTGGGTAAAAGAATCTCTGAAATTAATATTCCTTCCCCTAATATCTCCGCATAACCTGGCATAAAAACCATAGTTCAAACTTGGGTACTACATGGCTGTAAGGAATGTACACATGAGAAATACTTCTTAAGCAACGAATCTAATATTGTCATTATAGAGTATGTTGAATTGTTATAAAAACTTCGATGCATGCATATGTATGATCATATTCTAGTGTTTCTGTAATACTGGCTTTAAATAATGTTATGCACATAAACCAGTAAACTATTTTTTAATTATTTGCAAAAGATTAGAATGGTCAAAAATTTATGGGCTGACTATTTTTTAATTTTGATATGGCCAATAAACTTAACAAAAACTTTTTGTTGAAATTTTTTGGAGGGCATTAAACGTCAGCAACAATAGGATCTTGGTATATTTTCATTGTGGTTTGAGCAATCAAGAGGCACTCATTTTAATTTTCATTAAGCATAACAAATTTCTATGTCTCTCTTATGGACCGAATTAAGATATTTTTTAAAGATTGAGCCATGATAATTTGATTTACGGAGTTATTAGAGGATTGACTGTCATCTTTATTGTGTGTTTTTTCTTTTTCTTTTTTAGTTTTTTATCATTATATATGAATGTGAGTTCTTTATGTGCGCACTTGTCAATTACACTGAAACGTGTAATTTGTTATGTAAATGTATTCTGACTAATATATATATATATATATACTCTTTTTAATGAAATTGACAGGGATGCTGTGAGGTGCCTTCATTGCAAAGGTGTGTTTTTGTCTTCTAATTTTGCCTTTTTTCCTCATTTTTTCTGCTTTGCATATAGCAGCTGGTCTTATTTGTTTCACAATTTTCTGAACTCCTTTTTATATTACATTTAAACGTATGACTTGTATCTCACTGACTCTTACACCATTATATATGTCTTTTAAATCATTTGTTTATGAAATCTTTTCAATGTTGTTGTTAAATTATTGGTAGGCAACAGGGTCTAGTCACTCTTCTTGACAGAGTTGACACTTCTATAATTGAGTTTTTATTTTCTGTACTCAACAATCTTCATTAATTGAACATTGTTATAAAAGATTCAAAACAGATTTAACTAAAATGACTGAGTTTAAATCCAATTGGAACATGGCAAAGTTAGTAGAACAACAAAAATAAGCTTTATCTCACTATATGGGTTTGGATACATCATTCAATTAACAATACCATTATTCTCTTTAAAAAAAAGTGAGATGTAGAAAAGTGTATCATGTACCACCTGTAAGAAGGACTTGCATTTGGACATGCTAAGAATATAACATGTACCTAGATTGAAGAATAATTGGAAAATTTTAACACAATCTACATGAATTTATAAAATTTCTTAATTTGTGACTGGAAAGAAAGAGTACTTTCTTGCAAGTATATGTTGAATTAAACATAGGAATAGGAGAAAGGATATATTTGGGAAAGGGCAGTGATTTTTTAAAGCCTTTTCTTCATAACATGTTTTTAGTTTAATTATTTTTTTCATGCCAATATACCACTTTTTGCTTCTACTCCCTGTAAGTGTTTCTGTGATCTCTTTAATATTCAAACCTTTTGTTTTTTGTCCTGTTGCAAAATGGCTTTACTTGACTCCATCAGGTGTTGCCATGTGACAGCCCATTGTTAGAAAAATTTTACCTGGTAATACAAGATGGAACAACGCCAGCATTGCTGAATGGAAGGGGCTGAAATAGGGTATTACAGGGATTATAAATAATTTTTTTTATGGGAGCTAAAAGCAAAAACTTGTATATTTGCATGAACATAAAAGTATTTAATCCTATGTTTTTATAGTAAAAAAAAAAAATCTGAGAACCACTTCATTTATCCCTTGATTCCATAGATTCTCGGCTCTCACTTCAAACCACCACCATCTCCAACAATACCTCATTAAAGCTGCTGGCCTTTTTCTGTTACTGCTGCTGTTGCCACTCCCATGACCATTGCCAATAGTGTCTGACGTATCAATTTTTTTTTACTCCATGAACTAATTTCAAAAATTATTTATCAATAACAAGAATAAAATTAAACAGGTTTGGTGAAGGTCTGTGCTTAGATTTATTTCTCTTACATGCACTTTCGTGCAATAGCTTGAAGCATGGAAACTGCCCAAGCCTACTCTCTACTTTGTGTAAAAAAATTCAACTTAACCATGAAGAGAGAAGTTAAGGATTTAACCTTTTTAATCACTTTCTCCTTGAGTTTTTGATGCCATGTGAAGAAAGAACATTCATAAAAACCGCTAAACATAGTCTTAAGATTGGTTTTGTGACTCTACTGTAATATTATGAGAAATTGATGCATACTATATTTTTATGTATGCTATGTCGTGGGTTTTACTTATTTAGTAAATCAGTAGCAAATTGTAAAATGCATATTTGCTATACATCACTTGAATTTAGAAGGTGACGATATTCCTTTGTATGAAACATGTATTTTCCTTTCTTGTTTACATGAATGCTTTGTTTAAGACACCCATGATCCTTTTATTGTTAATTATGAATGTCATCAGTATTGAGTAATTTTATCATTTTTTTAGAATTTATACGTGTTATGTGTTAGAATCATTACTTCCTAGTATTATCATTAGACCTAAGTATAGGGTGTTGAATATGGGAAACCTCCTACATCTGTATCTAGATCTGCACCTAGAGTCCTAGTTGCAGTCTTTTAGTCTTCTATGTCTCATTGTATCAGATTTCCATTATAAATAGAAGAAAGGGAGAAGGGTTCCATAAGCCCTGAAGATATATTTTTTCTCTATTAATCTTAAGTTGGTATCAGAGCAGGTTGGTTCTGTTCTGCCCTTCCGATCATCGTTCGACTTCGTCAGGTCACCGTCCGACCACTTTCCGGCAACTTTCCGGTCACTTTCTGGCAACTTTCCGGTCCTTGTCCGATCACTTTTTTTACTGCTGTCCGACGATTTTCCGACCACATTCCGGTGACATTCCGGCCATTGTCCAACACTGTCAAGTACTATCCGTCGCTGTCCGCCGACGCGCCGCCACACGCACAATCTTCGTCCGCTGCAGTCAGGCGTGTGCAGTCCACGCGCCGCCGTGCACTCGCCAGATCGTCACCGCGCCACCTCAGTAGCTTTCGCTAGAACCTCCTTTGTTCGTTTTGGTGAAGTCCAGATGTCCCCCTTTTGGAAATCTCCCTAGGACTTTCAAAATCTTCACTATTTTTGCGTATCTACTCTCTGTTTTTTTGTCCTCTTGATCAGAAATGACATTTGGAAGTGCTGGAAGCACTATTTCATTCTCTGGAAGTCCTTCCACTACTTTCGAGAAGCTAAACGAACAAAATTACCTCTCTTGGTCTACTACCGTCGAGATGTGGTTCCTTGGCCAGGGACATCATGACCATCTTGAGAAAGACGGAAGCCATGTGCCTGAAGAAAAAGCTGAACAGTGGAAGCAAGTAGATTTTCAGTTGTGTGCCTTATTGTGGCAATCTGTGGAGCCAAGACTTTTAATGTCTATTAGGGCCTTCAAGACATGTCACTTTTTTTGGAAGAAGACTCAAAACATATATGCCAACGATATCCAACGCCTTTATGATTCGGCAAACAAGCTGACATATCTGAAAATGACCAACCATGATATGATCTCTTTCAAGAATGAAGCACAATCAGCCGTGAAAGACCTGCTGATGTTCTTGGAAGTCGACACTTCAGATGAAATGAAGAAGAAGCTTGACAAATACTATATGGTAATGATTCTTCACGCTATACATCTAGACTTCAACCATATCAGAGATCAACTTCTGACCTCTCATGGACACCTTAATCCAACGCATGGTTCGTGTCCCAACACATGGAACTCTGGAAACTCCTACTCTAGTAGATCCATCTATTATGGTCGCCACTCGAGGAAGAGGAGGACATGGAACTAGAGGAGGCGGACGTGGTGGTCGTGGGCGTCCTCAGTGCACATATTGCAAAAGGATGGGTCATACCCAGGAAAACTGTTACACCTTACATGGTTTTCCTTTCAAAATAGCCAATGTCTTTCAGGCTGAAATGACTGAACCCAAGTTCACTGAGGACGAGTATCAAGAGTACCTACGACTCAAGTCCAACAGCTTGGCACGACCATCTCAAGATCCAAGTACATCAATAACTTGCATCTCTCAATCCATGGAACGTCACAATTCATGGGTAATTGATTTCTGTGCTTCTGACCGTATCTCTGGTACTACCTCCTTGTTCTTAACCATTTCATTTCAAGACAAACCTCATTTTATAACCCTTGCAAATGACTCTAAAACTTCCTCAAAGGGAGTCAGTCAAGTCATCTTGTCTCCCTCCTTAAATCTAAAATTTGTCCTTTTTGTCCCTAATTGTCCTTTCAATTTAATTTGCTTAAGCCAGTTAACCAAAATGTTAAACTGTTCAGTAACCTTCGATAACAAATCTTTTGTTATACATGAGCGTGGTTCGGAGAGACAGATTGGAGAAGGATATGAAGCAGGATGATTATATATCATTTTGGATCTCGTCCACGAGTGTCATATGTTGCAGCTCCTAGTCCTAAAATATTACATGATCGGCTAGGCCACCCTCATTTGTCCAAGTTAAAAAAAATGTGTCCTGAACATAGTGGTCTCCTGAACTTAGAATGTGAGTCATGTCAACTAGGAAAACATGTTAGATCTGCCTTTCCTAAAAGGTCTCGATCAAAAAGTAATTCTAGTTTTTCTATCATCCATTCTGATATCTGGGGACCTAGTCGTGTCTCATCTTTTGGTTTTAAGTATTTTGTTATTTTTATTGATGAATTTTCGAGATGTACTTGGGTTTATCTTATGAAAGGTCGCTCTGAATTATTATCCATCTTCACATCCTTTTTAAATGAAATTAAGAATCAATTCGGGCAAGTGATCAAAATCTTGAGAAGTGACAATGCCAAGGAGTACTTCTCATCTGCTTTTTTTGTCGTTTTGAGTTCACATGGTATCTTGCATCAGTTCACTTGTCCTCATACGTCACAACAAAATGGTATAGCAGAAAGGAAAAATAGACACTTGTTGAAATTGCTTGTACCCTTTTGCTTAGTGCGCATATTCCTGTACATCATTGGGGAGATGCCATCTTAATTGCATGTTTTCTTATTAATCGGATGTCATCTTCCTCTCTCATTCATAAGGCCCCTTTTTCCATTCTGTTTTCAGATAATCCTCTTTTCCACATTTCTCCTCGTGTTTTTGGTTGTGTATATTTTGTTCATGACATGTCTCCAGGGTTAGACAAGCTTTTTGCTCGCTCTCTCAAATGTGTCTTCTTGGGCTATTCCCATCTTCAAAAAGGGTATCGTTGTTACTCTCCTGAAACGAAGAAATATTACGTGTCTGCCAATGTCACATTCTTTGAACAAACCCCTTACATCTCTCCATCTGTTCAAGATGTTCATGTCATACAGCAGGGCCTCCTTATTGCAGTGGTTGAGTACAATCTTTCCAATGTCTTTGTCAATCCTGGTCAAAGTCTTGATCAAAATACTCCTGAGCCATCATCTCCAACTATTCCTACCCCCCAGATAGATAGTCCCATTTTCCAAGAACATGGTGAATCCCCTACTTCAGATGCTTCCCCCTTGTCCCTTGATACCACAATTCCTAATGAAGGTAATTCAGGCTAGCCCATTGCTCTCTAAAAAGGTACTCGTTCCACTCGAAACCAACATCCCATTTATAATTTTCTTAGCTATCATAAATTATCGCTTTCCTATTGCTCCATTTTATCTTCAGTATCTTCTGCTGTTATTCCAAAAAACGTGAATGAAACACTTGATCATCCTGGATGGCGACAAACCATGATTGCAGAGATGTAGGCTCTTGAACACAGTCATACTTGGAAGCTCATGCCCCTCCCACTAGGTAAGAAGGCTGGTGGTTGTTGATGGGTGTATGCAATTAAAGTTAGCCCTGATGGTCAAGTTGATCGACTCAAAGCTCGATTGGTTGCAAAAGGATATACTCAGGTTTATGGTCTTGATTATTGTGACACTTTCTCTCCCGTGGCCAAGATGACTACTATTCATCTCTTCTTTGCAATGGCAGTCATTCGTCACTGGCCATTTCATCAATTGGATATAAAAAATGCCTTCTTCCACGGTGATCTTGAGGAAGAGGTTTACATGGAGCAACCTCCTGGGTTCGTTGCTCAGGGGGAGTCTGGTATGGTATGCAAATTGCATAGTTCTCTGCATGGCCTTAAGCAATCACCATGTGCTTGGTTTGAAAAATTTAGCTCCATTGTTTAAAAATTTGGGCTAAGACGTAGTGAAGGAGACCATTCTGTCTTTTACTGTCATACATCTCTCGGGAAATGTATTTACCTAATAGTATATGTTGATGATATAGTCATTACAGGAAATGACACTACTGGAATATCTAAACTAAAGGAGTACTTGTGTATACATTTTCAAACCAAAGATCTTGGAAGCCTCAAATACTTCTTGGGCATTGAAGTAGCTCGGTCAAAAGATGGAGTTGTAATCTGTCAAAGAAAGTATGCTCTTGATATATTACAAGAAACAAGCATGATTGACTGTAGACCAGTAGATAGTCCTATGGACCCAAATCAGAAGCTAACGACAGAAAGGTGAATTATTCTCTGATCCAAAGAGATATAGGAGGCTTGTTGGAAAGCTAATTTATCTTACTATTACGAGACCTGATCTATCTTTTGCAGTTAGAGTGGTTAGTCAGTTTATGCAGACTCCATATCTTGGACATTGGAATGCCATCATCTGTATTTTAAGGTACCTCAAGAAGGCTCCTGGACAGGGTTTACTATATGAAGATAAAGGAAATGTTCAAGTCTCCGGATATTGTAATGCTGATTGGGCAAACTCCCCTATTGACAGACGCTCTACTACAGGATATTGTGTCTTCCTTGGAGGAAATGTTATTTCATGGAAAAGTAAGAAGCAAAATGTAGTGGCCCGATCATCCGCTGAAGCTGAATATCGGGCAATGACGTCTCTCACTTGTGAACTCATTTGGGTAAAACAATTTCTTCGAGAGCTTAATTTCTGTGAAATCCAGACCATGAAGATGCACTGTGACAACCAATTTGTTCTCCACATTGCATCAAATCTGATGTTTCATGAGAGGACTAAACATAGAAATTGACTGTCATTTTGTTCGGAAAAAATTAATGTTCAAGGAAATTTGTACTGAGTTCGTTGGGTCAAATGACCAACTTGCATATGTGTTGACCAAGTCATTAAGGGGACCTCAGATTGAGTTCATTTGCTCCAAACTTGGTTCATACAATTTGTATGCTCCAGCTTGAGGGGGAGTGTTAGAATCATTACTTCCTCGCATTATCATTAGACCTAAGTATAGGGTATTTAGTGTGGGAAACCTCCTACATCTGAATCTAGATCTGCACCTAGAGTCCTAGCTGCAGTCTCTTAGTCTTCTATGTCTCATTGTATCAGATTTCTATTATAAATAGAAGAAAGGGAGAAAGGTCCCTTAAGCCCTGAAGATATATTTTTTCTCTATTAATCTTAAGTTTATGTATATAGTAGTACATCGCACATTAAATAAACTGAAACTGAGTACGGTTAACAGACTATAGCATTTTTTGGGCATGCTACAATTCGGAATTTAAAACACTATATGTGCTTGGTGTTGGGTGTCTTAAAATGTTCTAACCTGGGTGTTAGGAGGGTTTGTCGAGATCGCATTTTGACTCGGTGTATGATGACTAAGGCTATCCTACATCCTAGAACTAGTCATTTTTGTTATGAATCTGTGTTTTCAATTTTCCAGTATATGATAATTTTGTGATGGTAAGTAGAAGTTTTTTCTTTAACCTCTTTCACAAGAGCAGAAGTCTGAGCGTTCACTTAGTTTTGATATCTATTTTGTTTTCTGCTGATATCTTGTGCCTTTTCATATTTGAACTTTTTGGTTATTATTCACAAATTATATTTGCACTTCAATATCTCATTATCATCTTATGTTTATAGGATATTTTCACAAGAGACATGTCAGGAAATCAGGTGGCACAAGAACTACTGGAAGTACCTATTCATGTCACAGATGTCATGATGAGTTGCATGTAAAGACTAATACTACTAAAAGAAAAGTTGACTCAAAACTGCAGGAGATTCAAGGGAATAAACGTAAAAATGGGCCTTCAGTTTGTAAATCAGTAAACCTCAAGGGTAACAAGAAGGCATTGAGTAAGGTACGACAGGTAAGATCTCGAAACAGTAAGATTATCCCATCAAGTATACCTCTTCGCCGCTCTACTAGGAAGGCCAAATCCTTGTATATGCAAAGTCAAATGAATGGTGGACATAAAAAAGGAAAGTCAGGTAAAAAGAACATGGGACGTAGAAAAGGAAAGCAGAGTAAACCCAAGAAGGTGACCTCTGAGAAGTCCAAGGAAACTACTAGTGAATATGAGCAGTTAGCAGTAACTACTGCACGAAGGACAAGAACAAAAATCTGTAGCAGTTATTGGCTTAATGGTCTTCAGTTATCCCGAAAGCCAAATGATGCACGCATAATGCTATTTAAAGAGAAAAAGAGTGTTGTCTCCTCTGAAGATTTTTCTGGTTCTCTTGATTATCCTAAATGCTGCCTTTGTTGTGAAAATGAATGCACCTTGAATTATATTGCATGTGAGATATGCGGAGGTGACTACCTTTCTTCTCATCTATTTTTTTTCCTTTTGAGTTAGGGGATGAGTGTGGAAAGGAAGAGGCTAATACTTTTTGCAAGTTGAAAATAATATAATAAATGTATAGGCATGTACCCTTTTAACATCAATCAAAATATATTTTGAACATACTATGCTAATTATGCAGATTGGTTTCATGGTGATGCTTTTGGGCTCAACATGGAGAATGTCAGACAGCTAATTGGATTTAAGTGCCATGTTTGTCTTGATAGAACTGCTCCAATCTGTCCTCATATGAAGATTAATGGATTGTCTCACCCTGAAAGCAATGCTGCAAATGAGTGTGCAGAGGAATTATCTAATCCTGTTTCTCTTCAACCTTTAAGTGAGGTATGTTTGCCTCTTTTAAATCTGTGATTTGTTTTGAACTAGAAAATGAAATGATAAAAAGTCAAATGAACAAATCATGCATTTTTTATATAATATATAAACTTGTTTATGCCATCAATTTAGGTTTTCTGATGTTATAAAATATTTATTACTTGTTTATCCACACCTGTTAAATTATTGGACGTAGTTATTTATTAGAGGATTTGATTCTTCTCCCCTCCTTAAATTCCTCTACATAACAGAATTCACAGATATATTCCCTCTCTCCTATAACTTACTCCTCAAGATATTTTTCTTGGGTATTTGAGATATACTTGCAGGACATTTTAAAACCAGACCAGATATTGAACCGGTCAAAAAACATTGATTCAAGCCTTAATAGTTTAATTATGGTCAATTTGGTATCAATAATAATAATAATAATAATTATTATAAAAGAATAATAATTAAGTAATAAATTATTAGTATAAGCGAAAGATAATATTGTAATTTTCTATGCCAAATGCTTAACAATAAGACATCATTTTATGAATTCTTAATATTTAAAAGTACACACTAACGTCCAGATCAATTATATATCATAATGCCTGGGCCTTAGTTTAAAGAATGAAAATCAGTGCCCATTAATAATAACAAGCTTATATAAAATAAAAAGGAAAATGAAATTTGCTATAGGTTGACTTTTCATTTTCTTAAAGAGTAAAAATCAAAATTATATGTTAAGCATTTTTCATTAGCCTATTGTGAATCTTTTTTACCTGTTTTGGCGACGGTTATACTAGTTTTTCTCGATGTCATAAGTTCACTAGTTTATTTAGGCCAAATATTAGACTGATTCACTGGTGAGACTAAACAAGTATTCAGAACAGTAATAGACCCAGCCTTAATGGCCATTGGGTTAAATGAATTCTGGTCAGCTAGGTTCGTTGGACCCAGGTTCCTGTCAGAATGTGAAAACAGTCTACCATCCAACGAGTTATTGCTTTGAAGTTCTGTTTAAACAGGATCAGCCATAGAACTGGTTTAGGTAATGGTTCAATCAGTTGCATTTAAATGATGTTTTATTAATAATCAGTATCAAGAAATGTAACTTTGATCATGTTATGGATCAAATCTTGATCACTCAAGAATTTCTATCTATGGAGAGTCTAACAACACAATTCCTTCGTGTCCCTATTTTTAAAAGCATAAATCTGTGATTCTGCCGAATCATTGGCCATGGTGTCTACACATGGAAACACAAGAGGATGAAGTGGCCGTACACATCCTCAATGTTTTATTGTAAGAGAATGAGTTATTTTCAAATGGACTACTTCACTTTACATGGTTTTTTTGACAATATTACCAATGTAAATCTAAGGTTGAACCGAAGTATTTCGATAAAGAATATGAGGAATATCCTAGCACAATCATTCACCTAGTCTAGTTTGTCAAAACTTGCATTTCTTAAACTGTGGAATGTCGAAGTCTATGAAGACTTGATTCATTTGCTTATGCTTGTATTCTGGTAATACTTCATTGTCTTCTTCCATTTGTTCTCATAAAGTTCCTCATTTTATCACTTTAGTTAATGGGCCTAATGTCGTTTCAAAGGAGTTGGTCAAATCTCCCTTTCCCCCTCTTTAAACCCCAATTTTGTTCTCGTTGTCCCTTCTTGCCCTTTTAACCTAATTTTTTTGAGTCAATTAACCAAGTCGTTAAATTATTTTGTAACCTTTAATGTCAATTCTTTTGTTACTGTGTGATTTGATTCAGTTGATCGGAAAATGACATGAATTTAGGGAACTATACTATCTTGGATATTATACTTTCTCAAAGAAATATGCCATAGATATCCTAGGAGAAATGGGTATGACTGATTATAGACTAATGGATAGTCTAATGGATCTAAATCAGAAATTAATGACAGAATAAAGTGAACCTTTCTCATACCTAGAAAGATATAGAAGATTAGTTGAAAGTTTTATTTTTCTCATTGTTACTAGATCTAGTGTTTTTGAAGTTGGAATGGTTAGTTACTTTATATGGGGTTTTTTGTCTCGATCATCGGAATGTTGTCATTTACATCTTTAAAATATCTTTAGGAGAAGATAGAAGAAGTACTCAAATATCTAGGTATTATGATGTTGATTACGCGAGATCTTCTATAGATAGACATTTCACAATTGGATATTCTATTTTCATTAGAGGCTCTATCTTGTACTAAAAAGTTGAATATAGAGTGATGTTGGTGTCACTCACATGTGAATTTGTGTAGTTAAAACAATTCTTCTACGAGCATGAAGTTTGTGAACTTGACCAAATGAGAATGTACTGGGATAATTTGGATGTTATTCACATTTGCTAACAATTTGGTATTTCATGAGAGAACTTAATAAATAGAAATTGATTGCTAGTTCCAATGGTTAACTTTAATTTATTTTGACTAAATCCTTGAGAGGACCTAAAATTCAATTTATATGTTCCATATTTGGAACATACAGTTTATATACTCTAGCTTGAGGGGGAATGATAGAATAGGTGAACTTATCTTCTTTGGAATACTAGAAAGCTGTCTTTGTGGTATCTATTTGTCACCTAGGTGTAGTCTTTTCATATATTCTCTTTGTATCTCTTATCTAAGGAAGGACTCTTATATAAATACATGAATAAGCTGAAAGATGTATCAATTTCTTAAGCATATTTTCATTGTTTTACATTGTCAAAATATCAGATGAGTGTCAAAATATCATAGTTGTTTAACATTTTCTATTTTTTTACAAAATAATAGGTGACATATTTGCGCTTCTTTATGTCAATTATTATTTTTGTATTTTTGTAACAATTTAATTTTTTGTTATTTTTGTTTATAACTAATAGTATACTTTTGTTGAGCATTTGGTCCTTTATGTGACTAATATACTGTGCTTCTTTATGTATTCTTCAGTTGCAGGCAAATCTTTCTCTCCTCTTTAGCAATTCGGTAGTTATGTTAACAGAAAAATTTAAGTCCCTGGAATATAGTTATAGTTAATGAATTTGTTGTCGAGTTTTACGTCATGATTTGTACAATCTTAATAACATCTACATTACTGTTTTTATAGTTCCCCCTTTTTTGAGGAGATGACATAAAACCTTTTTGTAGTTTTACATTAGTTTTATAACAAATGATTGAAGTGAAAATTTCACTTGTCATTGCAGATCCCTTGCAATTAAATAATGTTGGCAGTCATGGATGAAATCTTCACTGTGCTGAGGTTATGATACATTTGTTTTTGTCGAAAGATGCATATTGACACAGCTAGTTAGATAAATGGGTTTTGCGGAATCGGGTCCATATTCTCCAAGGATTGGTTTTTCTTAAATATGAGGGACCATTTGGGTTAAGCTGAAAATGTTGGTTACAGTAGTTGGTGAGGAGCCTTCTAGTGTAACAATATTGAATCAGCAACTGAGAAGTGGTATTACCCGTCCTTTTCAAAGTAAAATTGGTGCTATTTATAACGAAGAATTTGTAATCCAAGGTTGCAATTTCTTAAATTCGATGCTTAGAAACAAACTTTTATCTGTGATAATGTGGTATCCTACAGACAAGTTATATTGTCCCCTGCGAGTGTCCAATTCAATTGGTAGTTGTACATAGTCATTTCCCCACCATGCTTATGTCAAATCTGGTAAATATTCAGTATGAGCAAGATTTTTATGTTTATTTATCTTCATTGCAGGTTTGATGATCTTGACTGAAAAAAGACATGGTGGGACATGGATGCCAGCTTGTAGGGTTGTTTTTATTTTTCTGCAGGATCTGGTGGCAAATGATATTTTTAATACAAAAAAAGTTGTCGTTAGGCAGGTTCAGTGTAGGGGAATGAACGGTTGCTTTGATCAAGCTTATGCTCTATTGCCTTCTATTTCAACAAACTGTCGTGGAAAGGGAAAGAAGAATAATGAAACAAGCATGCTTAAAGGCTGAAGATAATTGTATCAGAACATAGTATAGTTCACACATCAATTGCATTCATGATTGTTATTCTAACCCATCAGCATTCATTGTAGCATTCTTTGATGTAGGGCCTTTTCTTCACTTGAACTGATTTCACTAATGTCTTATCAAACTCTTTTAAAGGAATGGAGTATATAAATCATAGAAGATCTCAGTAAAGATTATATTGATCGTTGCAGATGGTAAATATCTTGTTTCTGTAAAGATTTTTCTGCTGCTTTAGTCGATCGTTGTCGTGGTGACAACTGAAGCATGGGCGAGGGAGAATTTCTTGGCGTCTCATGTCATTGACCACTTGGAAGTTCTTTTTGCTTTCTTGTTCACCCGAGTTCAAAGTGTATAGTTCGTGCATTGATTATCATTCTCATTCCAAGATACCCTTTATACGATACTACTTGTAGTTTCAACTAAACACTAATGTTCGTTTGTTAATTTTGGAACGAAATGAAAGCTTAAATCTGTTAATAAATTGTTGTTCTTATATGATTGTTATAAAATTATGTCTGTAATGATTTTATAAATTGGGCGTCTACTTAACACGTTAAAGTGTATGCTCTTCATTTAGGTTATTAAAATTGAATAATATAAATCACTATAGCCATTACTTTTAGCCAATTATTTACTTGTTCTAATATTGGTTTAGAAGCTGCTATGTGATATAAAATTCGCGTGCAGACAGATGTTTCGTTTAATTGATACGCTATTTGAATATATAGAAATTATCATCATTGTTAAAAATAGTATACCTACTAAAATATCCACTTCTAATATCAAATTATTTTAATTTTCCCTTCTTTACATATGAATTGAAACTGTAGGTGAAGAGTGTTTAAACCACTTATTTTAAACCACTTCTAATATTTAAATCTGGTTTCTATGTTTGTATGTGACACTTAACAGATTAAAAGTTCAAGAGTGTCTGTGGGTGTAACTTAAAAAATGAAAAAAAATTCAAATAAAGTATTTTTATTAAGAAAAAAATTTCTAGCTCCTCCTCCATTACTCTATTATTAGAAAGATGATCTTAAACTGCATGCAGAAATATTGAGAATTAATGGTCCTAAAAATAAATTAATATGTTTTGAAAGATTAAGAATCTGTTTGATTATTATTTTAGAAAGAATTTTTAATTTTTAAAAATTAAAAAAAAAAAAAAATATATATATATATATATATATATATATATATATATATATATATATATATATATATATATATATATATAACATGTTACAGAATTATCGAATATTTTAGACAAACCAATAATGTTTTTACTTGGTTTTTTTTAAAGTACTTTTACTTATTTTATTTAACTTTTTTTATTTTATGTATTGCATTCTTTAATAGATTTTATAATTTTAAATTTATATATAATTTAAATCTTTAAAAAAATTTAAACAATATCTTAAGAGGTAGAGTTACTAATTTGTCTGACTTAAATCTAAAATATTATTATCCAAAATTTAAAATTATTTTTTTAAAATATTTTATTGTTATTTTTAAAGTATGTATCTTTTTTAATTTAATTCAGTTTCTCCTTAAAATATAAATTAATTTTATATCATGTTAATTTTTGTTATATCTTAAGCTAGTAAAAATATAAGCACTAATGTGTCTTTGTATTGTTACATTAAGTTTGAAGATAAATAGAACAACACACCCAAATGTAATAAAAATATATAGTAGGAAACTATTAAATTATTTATATACAACTATTGTCGGTATTTTGGCCATTACAATAATAATACAAATTATTTATAAAAATAAAACAGAAAAAAGTATTTACTAAAATAGCTTGTTTTTTTTACGCAGAAAAGGTACATAAATTATTTTTTTACACACTTTTTGAAGTGATCGTGATGCTTGAATTTTTTTTTAAGAAATTATTTAAGCGTTAGAATTTAAAAATACGTAAATTTTATTACATTTATTTTAAAAAATTGGAATCACATCACGATTGTCACGTCATTAAATATATCTGCACTAAATTACATTAAAATTTTGATAAAAAACTTTAATGGTTGGGGACTATTCGATTAGGAAACTTGGAATTGGAAGAGAGAAAAACTTTACGTCAATTAAACTAAATAAATTTGTTTATTTTCCCTTGTCCCTCTTCTTTAGGGATGGCAAAACTGGTTAAGTCTGATGGGCCGGCTCGTCAGTCCGCCATAATATGGCGGGTGAGTTGGTGTTTTCAGCCCACCAGCCTGCTTTGGCCCGTCCCGCCAAGCCCGTCAATCCGTCGAGCCAACCCGCGGGACGGGCGGGCAGCCCGTGGCCCGCCTAATTAATAAAAAAATAATTTTTTATTGTACTAAAATTATTTATAAAGATAATATATAAAGTTAAAAATTTTAAAAAGAGAATTAAAAAAGTTTCATTCTCACAAAAAATATTTTTGTTCCTGAAACATAACCTTCTATCCTGTTCTCCTTGTTTATCCTAAGCACTGATTATTTTTATCCTTATTACTTGAATTAAAGGTATAAGCTCAACCAAGAATAATATGAAGTTTTATGAAATAAAAAAGATATAGGTATTTGAATTTTTCAATATAAAAAATATAAATTTTATAAGTTTAACGTTATTTATATATATATATATATTTGTTATTATTTATTATTATATAAATTTTATTATTGTTCTAAATTATAATTTCTTAAAATAATGTATTGATTTATATTATTAAATTAAAATAATATATATATATATATATATTGAATTATTGACAAACAAATAATAATCTTATTATTAAATTTATTAAAAAAAATATTTTTTAAAAAAATATTTTTTCTAAATTATGGCGGGTCACCACAGACCTACCCTTGGCGGGACGGACCAAGGTCTACGACTCGTCATGACTATATTGGGTCAGCCCATCCCGCCCCGCTTTTGGCGGACCAAAGGCGGGGCGGGCCAAAACGGGGCGGGCTGGCCCGTTTTGCCATCCCTACTCTTCTCTTATTAATCAATATTGCATTAATATAGATTTGAGGAATGATCTTTTTGATAACCAAGAAAAAATACATCTTTTAAACTAAATAACCTTTTATGTTAATACACTAATGATAATAATATATAATAAGTATATTATTGATTAAAAATAAAAATAAATAGTTATTGATTGATTATTTGTTTAAGTATGAGTTGTCAAAATATATTTATGTGTAGATTTATATGCACCAAATCATCAATTTCAATTAATAATAATAATGATAATATATCATCCTTTGAAAATATAAAAAATGTCATAAAATTTTTGAATGTGAACCAAAAAGGAAAGGAAAGTAGGGTTGGACGGTGCCTTTGATGTTGTGAAGCGTTTTATGGCTACTAGCCGTTGCGTTGTGAGCTTTCGTGCCACTTTTCTCTCAACGTTCACATTATTTGAAGATTGTGCAAATAGGGTTGTTGAAATCCGCAACGGCTAGTACAACCTTTTAAGCCACACTTTTTCTCATGCACTTACCAATCACAAATACAACATTCTCTTCTTCTCCTCCTTCTTCTCATCATCCCTTTACAAGAAGGAAGATTCGATTTGAGATCACTGTCGTCTAATCTCTCTTCCTTCTTCTTCTTCTTCTTCTTCTTCTTCTTCTTCTTCTTTCTGCAAATCAAGTGTTATTCTTCTTATTCATTCGATCCACATTATGGCTACCAACACCATTCATGGCAACAATGAATCTGCTCAACCCAACAACATTGCTTCCTCAAAGCAGCCACTTCCTCCTGCCAAGACTGTTGATTCTCAATCTGTTCTGAGAAGGTTCTTTTTCATTCTTCTTGTTTTCTTTTCTTTTTTTTTGTTATTATTATTATTATTATTATTTTGTTTCTATTCAGAATAAACCTTCAATTTCGTCTTATATTTGTCCCGTACTTTAAAGAGTTTACCTTAAAGAGTATCAAATAAACTATCTCAAGAATTAAAATCCAGAGGGTTGATAAAATATTCCAACTTGGAGACTTATCCAATGAATATCGAGTAGTTGAAGAACTATTTGTATGATTTAATTACTTTGGGATCGGTATAGGAGACAGAGTGATAGAAGAGACACTAAATTGATGTTTTGTTGGTGTGTCTTTACTCTTTTTAATCTAATTTGGTTCTCGTTTTGTGTTGTTGAACAGATTGCAATCTGAATTGATGGCTTTAATGGTAAGAAGCAAAGATATATTCAATCGGATGATTTGATTATGTGAAGTTGGGAAAATATGTTGATTTTTGTTTGGTTTTGTGGGTGGATTGTTAGATGAGTGGAGATTCTGGGATATCTGCATTTCCTGAAGAGGACAACATATTCTTCTGGAAGGGAACAATCACAGGAAGCAAAGATACTGTGTTTGAAGGCACAGAGTATAAGCTGTCCCTCTCTTTTCCCAATGACTACCCTTTTAAGCCTCCAAAAGTGAAGTTTGAAACAAACTGCTTCCACCCCAATGTGGATGTGCATGGCAATATATGCTTAGACATACTCCAGGTGATTTGATGTGATGTGACATTTTGTAATGTAGACCAAATATGAATATTGTCCTTGAATTTGCCGCTGAATTCTGATGATGTGTTATTTTCTTGTTACTTTGTTGTTTATAGGATAAATGGTCATCTGCTTATGATGTTAGAACAATTCTTATATCCATCCAAAGTCTGCTTGGAGGTAACTTGAAAAAGTCTATGGATAATGCTCTCTCATGTTTGTTTTCCTTTTTGTTTCTTCTTCTTACCTTTGTTCTTGTTACAATTCAGAGCCAAACATTAGTTCACCACTAAATCCACAAGCAGCACAGCTTTGGGACAATCAAGAAGGTAACAACATCGATTTATCTCTTGAAACCTTAACTGGTGTGGATTAGAGATCTAAAATTTGTTTGTGATGTGTTGTACAGAATACAGGAAGATGGTGGAGAAGTTGTACAAATCTGCAAATTGATGAATCTTTGTGGGAGAGAATGTCCCCATTCCTAAGCGAAAGGGATGAAGCCACACATCGATTTACCATTACCAATCATTGCTTGTTTCTTTCTTTCCTTTACAATTGAAATTTAAAAGGTTTTGTTATTTGTCAATTTGTGTCCTTCTTCTGTGTTTGTCATCGAAAAAAACTGTGAATTTGAAGTTAGGTAGGTATTTGAATTGAATTTCTTGAAGAACAAGAATTGGAGTGTATTTAATAGCTAGCTGCTGATGCTCAATAGCGTAGCGGGTATATAAAATAAATAATTTCTCAAGTAATTATTAAAATACTTAGAATTTAATATTTCTGAATCACGTCACGCAAATTTAATGTTTCTCAAATAAATAATACATTATTATTACGCTAATTTATATATATATATATATATATATATATATATATATATATATATATATATATATATAAGTTGTTAATTATTCTTATATAAGCCAGTGGAATAAATTATTATACACATAATACATAAACTTATTATTCAATCGTATCTCTTGAACTGTGTTGAGTTGAGTTTTTACAAATGTCTTTTTAATGATAAACCCTTAATTGGATTAGATCAATTAGAGATAACAGAATTTTTAAAATTTCCTTGATTAAAAATGTGTAAAATTTAAAATATCTTTTATATTTTTTAGAATAATAATTATTTAAAAAGTAGATTATATTAATATTTGAATAATATTAATATTTATTTAATTGAATAATAATATGATATATGTAATAAATTTGTTCAGATTGAATTTACTTTGGGATGAGCTCAATTAAAAAAAAGGTTAGATTTTTAAATTTTTTTGTTAAACGTAATCCAATTCAATGGACCTGTGATTAGATTGGACTGACTTAATTGAGTAATAAAAAATTGTTATTAAAAATTGTAAATATTAAAATATATTTTTTTAGAATATTTTGAATTCGTAAATTAGATTTTCCAAAACATTGATTAATATTTGAATAATTTAATATTTTTAAAAAATTAAATTAATATTTTATTATTATTAATGTTATTCAACGTGGAGAAAAATTTGTACAATGAGAAGGGGGAGAGAATGTTTACGAAAACAAAGAAATGTGCGTCCAAATTCTAGCCCACTATTATTGGACGAATAAAATACTTTGAAATAGATTATGGTGGTGAAATTTATCGGGAGATGTTGGGAAACATAGTTTTCTAAAATTGTGTAATTTTTATTAGTATCTATTATTTGATATTTAAAATTTAATGATTATTAAGTATATTTATTTGTATATTTATAAATCTAGTTTTTAATTCTTTCATATTTTATTATTTTTTTATAAGGGTGTTAGTCATTTGTGTGAAGGTGTTCTTGGTGAAAATAAAGAGATTGGAACGTGTGTGACCTTTCAGGGTTGAAGAAGGTGTGCAAAAAAGTGTAGTGCAAGTGTAAGAAGAAAGTGTCCATTGAGATGATGGTCATTGAGACGATGGTCAACAAGATTAGTATCATGTGCATGTACCATGGATATGATTATTTGCAAGGTGACGAAGGTGTTTAGGTCTAGATGGGTGTGTAATATGATTAAATTATTCAAATAGGCTTAACTACACTTAAAAAAAATTATAATCTAAATAAATTAAATTAAGTCTATTTTAATTTAATTTATTTAGATCATGATATATGAACTCAGATCATCATGTTAATTCATAGACTCATTGATAAATATGTCTTATACAATATTAATTATTTTTAAATAAAAATAATATTATTTATTAAAAAAATATATCTATAAATTAATTTGATAAAAAATCACATGAATAAATATTATAATAAATTTTTAATAATCACGTATTTTAATATATAATTTATTTTAATATTTAATTATTAAAATTAATTACTATTATAAATTAATAAATTATTAAAAAATAAATAATGATAATAAAAATAAATTTTCACTTCTTATTTGGATGGATTTATTCTTTTATAATTTATATATATTAAATAATTATATTTTAAATAAAAATTAAATTTATTAATAAAATATAAATTTTCAAAATATATTTTTATTTTTAATTAAATATTTTTTAATTATTTGATCTTGTATAAATATATTAATATTTTTTAATATTAATTAAGTCAAACTAATCCATTAATGTCTAGATTAGATTAGACTAAAAATTTTAGTTTATTTTAAAACATAAGTCAATCAGACTAAACTAAATTGATTTAATAATTCTATATAAAAATGATGATTATGATAATGTAAAAGATAATTTATATAAACTTTATTTTTGGTACGAAATGGAAGATGATAAAAAAAATTGACATTGAATAATCAACAAGAGAAGAAAAAGACAAAGATAAAAAATAATTCAAGATTTAATATTAAAAGAATTTTCGATATTTTTCTTTACTTTGTTCGTATCATCAAATAATTTAAAATATTCATAAATAAAATAATAATAACTTAAAACACTTTATACTATTTTAAAAATCTAAAAACTTCGTATGGATATATAAAAATATAAGATTTTCCTTCCTACTACAAATAGGAGAATGGATACTCAATTTATGAAGCATAACCTACTCACACAAACTCTTACACTAATATATATCATCTTACATTAATAAACTAAGGTATAAAATCGATGAAATAAGAATAAAAATATCTATAAAAAAAATCCTAAAATTTTCTCAATTTTTTAGGTTTTGAAAATCCCTTATCACAGACATGATTTTAATGTCGATGTATCGTCTTTATATAAAAATTATATCACTTCAAAAATTTATAAAATTCGAGATACTCACTAAATAATAAAAATAAGAAACAAATCTAAACTTCTCACATGTTAAAAGAATATCACAAATGATGAAGTTACGAGTCACTCTTTCCTTAATACGTTGACACGTTGACAGTGTTTCTTTTGAAAAATATGTTTGGAGTTGGAAATGGTATTTGATATACTTGTTATCGCAATTCCAAGTGTCTTTAAATAACATATCTTTCATCCCAACTCTACATTATCTTTGATGTTGTTGTGCTGATAATTTTGTTGGGCTGCAATAAGTATTTAATTTGTAGATATGGCTATTAAACTTGTAGCTGTGGCTATTGTTGATATATTAAACTTATTTATATGTTTGGAAGTCGAACCATAAAATGTGTTAAAATTCTACTTCAATTATATGTCTATTTTATTCTTTGCTATTATTAGAAATTGCTAGATAATTATATTAAAATAAAAAAATAATATAATAAATAATAACTTTAACAGAAGAATTCTTATTCATTAAATTCATCATTGCATTACAATTACATTACAACAATTTGTATTGAAAGAATTTATATTACAAGAATCTACAACTTCTAATAAAAAAAGTTATCTTCTATTACACATTGCTAATAATTAAAATGTCAAACTAATTTTAAACACTATAACACATTATAATTTAACAAATTTTAAGTCGTTAATTATCTTCTCCGACTTTAAAAGCAGATTATATCAACTCTATAAATTTCATCACTTCCATTATTATTAATTGATTATATTTCTCTTCCAATTATTGTTCAAACGAAATATTCACAATTTCTTTTATCAATCCTTGATTAACATTAAAATACTTATAATTGTCTTATTTTAACATAAAAATAATAGTAAAAAATATCACAGATAAAAAAAGAAGAGTTTCTTCTTTTTTTTCTAAGTTCGTAAGATTGTTCTTAGTTCAAAATAAAAAAATGACCAGTTAGTCAACCACTCAGCCTTATATCACATGAATCACCTCACTGACATTTTTCGTGTTCCCTTACAATTTCTTATTTGTCGTCACAAGATGAACTACTAGTTGTCATCATCAATGCATCCAACAAAAAACACAACAAACCTAGGAAAGAAAAGAATACAACAAAAGATAAACGATGAATATGAATATTTTAAGGTTCAAGATAAAATAAAAAAACACAAAGAAGGAAATATGTAAGAAGAAGAAATAATTTTTGTCAGAAGTAGGAGGGTTCATGTTGAACCAGAAAATGAAAAATGAAGATCAGTAAAAAATAAATAATTAAACCTACATCAAGAAAGATTTAGGAATGAGAAATTAAAGAATGAAAGAAGAAGAAATAATTAACATGAGAAAAAGAAAGATTTAGAAACCAAAAATAAAACATTTTTATCTGTGACCTCTTTGATGCAATATCATGTTATTGTCTTATATCAACAAACTAGGAGTTAAATATTACTAGTAATCTCAATAATTGTTATGAATGACATATCATAAATTAAATATTAAATTTACTTTTCAATATATTTAAGAACTAAAGAGAAACCTATACAAAAACCGAAAAGATATTCAACATAAAATATACATTTAAAGGTGACCAAGGAAATTTTGAACACACGAATATAGCGGCTAATGAATAATAATACAAATTCTTCTAAAATAAATGCTTATACAATTTCAACCTCATTTAAAAAGAAGCAATATTTATTTTTATCTTTCTAAAGAAATTCTTGAAAAATAAAGACCTATTTTAATAAACTAACATTTCCAAACACACCCTAAGTCATTAAAGATTTTCATAAACAGACATTTCCAAACAATTGACAAGAATAACATTAAGATTAATGATCTTAACAAAGAATAGACAGAACCTTCCTTTACACAGATTAAGAGGGAAAATTTTCTTTCTGATTTACAAGATTATATGTATACATATAAAAAATATATATATACTTATAACAACTGTACTGTATCCACATCAGAGGATGAATGCGAGGCAGCAAGCAGTGCTGCTCCAACGCCTGATCCATCTTCAGTGACCTTAAGAATTACATGCTTGGCAATATCTTCCCCCAATATTTCGTTCAAAGCTTCATGCAAGTACTCCCTAAATAATGTATAGCTAGAATATAAACCTCCTTCAATTGCAACAACTGTTCTTTTCATTTTCACATCACTTCTACGTGCACCTGTGATGCCACCACTTCCATCCCTACCAATCTTCTTCAAGATACCAACAATACCAGCAGCTGCCAATCGTGCAGCTCTGCGAGTCACCACATCACAAACCTTCACCACAACTTTTCTTAACTTCAAAGGAACATCAGGAATCTGAGATGGCACAAGCCAAGCATAAAGAATGACTGTTAGACTCAACAGTCATTTAAGGACAAAATATATGGTGTCATGTCACACTGGTTTACCTCAAGGATGTCTTTCAGGATTCTTGCTACTTCTCTCAAATCAGGAGAATCATCCTCGTGCATGGCAGCCATCATAGGAGTCCTGAAATAGCACAAGGAAACAGTTGACGAATCCAGACCCAATCCGAGAACTGGAGGCGGATAATAAACCACAGAACATTTAACTTGACAATATGCAATCCGTTCCAGGATGAAAACAAAACTTAAGAATCTCAACAAAAGTGATCCCTCCACCTCGCCATAATATATAGCAATTCACTTTTCTAGTTTCTAGATCAACCTGAGGACTTTTCAGAAAATTTATTATTGATAGAAAAAAAAATAAAAGAATAATTGATTAACGATGTATCAAGAGCAGAGTTGATCAAGGAAAGATGGATACAGTACACACCTCAGCGTAAAGGGCATTGAAAGCTTGGAAGAAATAGGTCCAAACATATCTGATTCAAGCCACATCCTTAAAATGACTCTCCTGACAATGTCACCAAGATACATCCCTGATATCATTTTCTCAAAACCCTACATCAAGATTACCAAATCTGAGTCTTCTTGAATCAAGAAACAGGATTAATGAGCAGCCGAACCAAACCTGATCATTTGGATTAGGGCTTTCGGAGTCTAAATCAATATCATAAGATGTTCTTGGTAAATGAGATGACCAAAAGTTTCCCCATTCCATATTTACAACCTGATAAACAGAAGAGTTATAATAAGTTCAAAACAATAAACAAAAGTGAAAATAAAAAAACAAGACCAATACCATGTATCCTGATGTTGTAAGAAGACCCTGACACTTGATAATAGCATCAACCCGTTCCAAATAGCAAGCATTGGTACCGGTGCCAATTATTATGGAAGCAACAGTATCTGAGTCATGATAATGTCCAAGAGCTAGTGTTCCAACAGTATCATTGACCTGATACACAAAAATCATATTCCAAGTAATACAATGAAACCAAAAGGGTTTTCATACATGAGAATGGACACTGTTCCTTTTATGAAATTAAGGACTTGAAACTCGTACCCTCTAAATGAAAACACAACACTCGGTGGTGCTTTGAAACATATTTAGTTCACTCCCATTAAAAAGTGAATTTATAGAAAGCAGTACACATAAAAGACAAGACAATAACCACATTTATATGAAATAATATATGTGCCTCATCTCACCAACACGTCATGCTGGAATAAGTCAGTAAAACCTCCAAACTAGTGGTAGCATAGAGATTAAACATAATGGTAACAGTTGAAACAATTCAGACATCATAAAAGAACCTAAATTATATCCTAGAACAACTCTACTGTATCAAAGGAAGAAGTGAAATGGGAAATTGACCCAACTTGCATAACAGTGACAAAAAAAGAGAAACAATTTTTTGTGATAACAGCACGGAAACATTGGAAGATGATCATAACCCCGGGACAAAGAAAGACTTCCTTACCAAGGCAGCAATCCGCATGTCTAGTCCTTTTCGTATCAATGCTTCCTGCAAACATGCAGGAACATCTACCCCTACCTGACAGTAAACAGTTTTTGCACTAAATATTTGTTAAATTATTCAAATACATATATAGCTTTTATATTTACTTCACTACTACTGAAAGACCACATGCAACTTGAATAATTTTTTCCTATGGATATTGTTAAGGGAAAAGTAAGTCCACAACAATAATTGGGCCTGGAAAATTAACCCAAAATTAATAACTGAATAGTACTACTTAAATCGAGTACTTCGGGTCTAAAAATAAATACAATTATCAAACTAAACAAGATACTAAAAACCAAGTCCCCCTCCCTTTTCATTAAACAAACACAAATCACCATCAAAGTTTGTGATAAAGTTCTACAACAACAACAAAGCCTTATCAAAGTTAGTGATCAAGTTCTAACATGAACAATAAACATAAATTCCTTCATTTCATGATATCTCTATGCGTAGAGGTTTTTCACAATGAAATTGCTTGAAAGCCAACGGACTAACCATATCTACAATGGAAAACCCTTTTGTCCATTTCATTAAAATGCCTGAGGAAACAGACATTTGTTTCACAGGGAAAGAAAATGTGAATCCAAGTTCCCTTCTTCTATCCAGTGCAAGTTCAGGACCGTCTTCTTCTTTCTCAATGAATTCCTTTAAGGAAGAAGCAATGAAATCAAAGAGATCCTGCAAAAAGCAAAATCAATTCATTCTACTATATTAAAAGAACCCCCTCCCCACAAAGAGAAAAGAGAAAGCCAGAGAAACACCAAAAGGGTAGAAGATTATGTCACCTTGCTTGTGCTTGTCATTAGATGTTGAGGAATGGGTTGTTGCTGTACTTCATGCTCCAAAACAGAAGGTTGTTGATCGTGTAAATGAACCCGCAAAACCCTAAAATTTGTACCTCCAAGATCTAGTGCATAATATGTTCCTTTATCGGTCCTGATCAAATAATAACATGAATAGCACTTTAGTATTTAATCCTTGCAATCATCAAACATGTACGTGGATACAGACAAATCTACTCACCAACAAAATGTCTTAATTAGTTAAAAACATATGCTCAAACATATTGATAACATGTAAGCATCACCTTCTCTAAGTGAATCTTGACCCAGATTCCCAGTAATGCACAAGAACATTGGAACCATTCCTAAAATTTTAACACCATGCCATAATATTAACTGAAAAACCTCAGCTGACCAATTCTAAAATTCCATGCATGGTATATCATCTAAGAAAGAATTCCCAAAGAATAAGGCCAAAAGTTAAAAATAAAAAACGGTCATAACATACGAACAATGTCAAAGAATACGTGTAACACTTAAGTCAAAGGAGGACATTGACAAATGTAAATAAAACGATATATACATAATAAAACTTGAAACAGAAAAGTAAAAATAAATAAATATATTTTATCACAGAAAATATCAATTTTTTAATTAATTATGCTTTTAGTCTATCAAACTTGTAATACATTTTTCTTTTTCCACCCAATTAAAAGAAAAAAATTTAGTTTGAAGTCAATCTGTGTTTACACAAGTGATGACGTATCGCTGCCCGCATTTTTGAAAATTTCCTCCATCGTATACATCCAGATACCAAAATCATACTTGTAAAATTTTGACAAATTATGATAACATTTTCAAGTTGGAGAAAAAAAAAACAAATTTATTCCAAATTTTCAGTACCAAAAACATAATTAAACAATCTTTTTTTCAGTATTAACACAAAATTTATTTATTTATTTATTTATAATACTTATATTTAACAAAAATAATTTTTAATTTCCTGTTACTCATGCTTTTGTTTCACTTGAAAAAGATACAAAATATATTATTTCATTAAATATATGGACTAAAAAATATATTTATAAGGGCTAATAAAAATAACAGCAAAATATCTTTTAGCAATAGGTTGAAATAATAATGCTACAGTTTGAGCAATTAGCAATAGCAATAATAATAAAAGAAAAAGAAAGGAACCAGAAAACATTCCCCTATAGTAGAAGTTTACATGCTCCAATCACATATCGACAGGTTAACAAAACCATTCCGAGTGGCAAAAAAGAAAACATGAGTGAGTGTGATGGAATGACAATGGAGCAGAAAGGAATTAACGGTTGGATTACCCATCGGGGAGATTATGAACATAGGTGAGAAGCATTTTCAGCTTCGAACCACCTTCTGAAGCCAACCCAGCGTGCATCTCAACAGCCATAGCATCCACCACTTGCCTCAGCCTCTCAACCGAACTCTCACACCCTTCCTCAACCTCCCTCAACACTCTCACCACTCTCTTCCACTTCCTCCTACTCCTTATTCTTCCTCCAACCACCGCCGCCGCCACCGCACAAGCCACCGTTGCCAACCCTACCGCCACTCCCACCACCACTCTCCCCATTCCCCCGATCAAATCAAACCAAACTACATCCCACCATACGTCGCCGTTTCCACACGCACGTCATCTTCCAATCCTCGTTCTAATCAAAGCAAACCCAGTCAAGCTCCGCTGTTGATAGCATTACGCTCCGGCGACCGAATGCCGGCGACGTTCGCCGGAAAAGTGGGGAATGAATGAATGGAAAAGTAGAGGGAAAAAGAGAGAGAGAGAGAGAGAGAACGGAGACGCGGCGGCTTCGCAGCACTATTTAAGCAATTGGAACGAACACATGTGGTGAGTGAAATGACGGATTTGTCCTCGATGCCTTGCCAAATTTCGGATTTCTCCTTTAAAATTCTTCCACCTTTGACTTCCGCTTCTGGTTGCGTCTTTACCACTCGTTTTTTCTTTTCTTTTTTAAATAATAATTACAACTATTACTACAAAAAATAATCAAGTCGTATTTAACTTAAAAAGACAACATAGTTTAATTATAGTTTTAATACGATGTTAATGATTATTAATAACCACTCAAAATAAAAAGTAAATACCCACGCGGCAATTAGGACATTACATTCAATGATTGCTAACGGATACAATAGTTAACATTCAATAATTTATTGCCCATAATTATTGTTGAAGTTTCATAAAGTTTCTTAAATATCCATTACTTTTTAAATATTTACAGTCATTTCTCTTATAAGTAAACGTTTTAATATTTTAAAATATTTAAATAAGTTAGTTTAATGTAAAAAAATAAATTAATGTAATATTTATAAATAATTTACAGTATAAAAAAAGAAAATGACAACAAAAATTGTCATAACTTAACAAAATCTCGATCGTAATATGATGAAAATATATACTAATTGAAAAAAAAAAAAAAGACAAATGCTAAGTAATATCTTTTAGGTTAGTGTCCAATTTTGTATTCCTTTTGATTTTGATAATTTTATAGTCAATTGTTTTCTTGTTGCCAGAGGTAAATATGGCATGAAGGAAAGAACAATTTGGAATATTATGGTGTTCCAGTATTCAATCCACATGACTTTATTATTTTGTTTGACATAATTCCTTCACAAACTTGGAAACAGTTTATGACACGCAGTTACCAGTTTCATAGGTAGGCATGACAATGGTCTTAAAATTAAATTGGAAGCTAATCAACCTAATATACCAATTTGATTATTTAAATTGAAGGTTAATTAATTATATACATTTAAAATAAATTATATTTTTTTGTATAACATGACTCTTTAGGTTAACAAGACAATTTTAGAATGATTTAAATTTAAAATAAATTATTAATGTATCTATGCTGAAATAATTAATAAAATTAAATAAATAAAATAAAAAATATTTAAATTAAAATTATATTAATAAACTTATTTTTTATTTTAAATATAATAATTTGATATATAATTATAAAAAATGTATTCATTTATAAAATAAAAATTTTAAAAAAATTCTTATCATCATTCAAAAAAAAATTTATAATTTATTGATTTAAAATAATAATTAATTAAATATTAAAAATTATTTTTATATTTATATCCTTTATTGATTTAATTTATAATATATATACATATATATTTTATATAATAAAATAAAATAAAATAATCAATTCATTCACATATAAGCTAATATAACCTAAATCTATATAAATGATAACTTAGCGAACCAAAATATGTGTAATTCATGTTATATATATATATATATATATATTTTTTTTCATAATATAATATATTTTTCCAATATTTTGATCAATCCATAATATTAAACTTATTTTTTCACCCTTAATCACATAATATAAATAAATGCTAATGATATTTAAGGGAGTCTTATTATATTCTACTCATCTAAGGTGAAAAAAAAAAAATATATATATATATATATATATAATATAATATAATTTAAATTAACACAAAATCCTTACAATCCATCTCATTACACAGTAACAATTCAAATATAAAATAAAATATTCCATTTATTATTAAAGATAATGAAGGTCTATTCTTGTGTACTCTAAAAATTGTTAAAAACTATTTTTTCAGTGTTTCTAAGTCAAGATGGATATGTGTCTATTGATGGTAAAAAAATATTTTTATAATAAGAAAATTGAAAAAAAAAATAAACAAAATGCATATGAAATTTCTTTTAAGAGAAATAACCCAGTGTTTAGAATAGAGCACATGAAAAATGAACAAAATGAGTGTATAAATAAGAAAGAATGAGAGTTCCTAGTGCTAAAAAAAGGAAAACATACATTATTGAGAACAATGTTGTTAGATTCTTATGAAATTTTGACTGTAATTTTTTTCCAACAAAATTATAAAACATTAATGTGTTTTCCAAGCAGCATAGACTTATTTTATGTTGTATATATTTTTTATAAAAATAACTCTTAAGTTATTTGAAAAAAAACATTTTTTAAAAAACTTTTATACAAAATACTAAAAATTATAAAAAAATATTATTTTCTTAAACGACATAAAAAATAAATAAACAAACCAACTCAATGACATAAGAACAAAAGGATAATCTTCTCATTTATTTATTTCTCTTCTTATTAATTAAGTTTTCCCAGTTTCCTTTTATAGTTAAATTATCATTCTAACTTCCAATTACCGACAAACCCCTTTGACGGAACTTTATCGTCAACGAACGTTCAAAACCAAAGCAAGGGCAAGACTGTGAATGGAGAAGGACTTAAGGGTATTTAGGTCCATGTAGTGCATACAGTACACTCGTGTTATGGTCCCAACACGAGATTTATTATTATTACTATTATATTACATTTTTTAAAAATAGATAAAATTATAATAATTAATTAGTTAGGAGTACATAACATAAATGATAAGATTGAGAGAGAGATAGGTCGTGTTTGTTGAAAGGGAAAAAAAATGAAGATAGAGAAGCGGTAGCTCCGTATTTGGATTCGTACAATGCCAGCTGGCCTCAGCTAAGTCCAGTTGTATTTCTCAGCTGAGCTGTTCACTAACGCACGCACAACTAAAGCTAAACAAACAAACCCTACATTTTTATTTCTTTTATTTATATGATAAATAAATTAAACAAAGTACTAAATGTTTCAAAATTAACTATTAAGATAGATTTTGCATAAATAAAAATAAGGATGATAAAATACACTAATATATCTCATCTTCATCATCGGCTATATTTTTAGTTTGAAAAAAATAAATAAAATATTAGTATGTTATAATTAAAATACATTAAAACTTTGATTTATTTGGTCCTGAGATGATAAATTAACGGGTGAGTTTCTCTTATTCCACTCTTAACTCATTAAATTAGCGAATAAAATGGGATGAGATAAAATAAATTGATAAAGTAAAATGATAAACTTGTATGTCATAACTAAAATTGTGATGATGTGACAAAAATGAAAAAACAATAAAATCATAGTAAAAAAAAATTACAAATCCGATAATCGATTATGTATAGAAAATATGTCAACATCCCATAACAATATGTTATACAATCATTACTTTTATGAAAAAATTATTTATTTTATCCTTTAAAATTATATATATATATATATATATATATATATATATATTATTATTAAAAATAGAAGATAATATATTTTTTTATTTTTTTTACTTGATAGAGATTATCTCTATATTCTTATTCTTATGTATCTCAAGTACAATAAAAAATGTGAATCACATAGTTCTTTTATAGAAAAAAATATTTATGAATAATTTATTTTAATTTATCTATTTGTATTATTAAATAAAAAGTATGCTTAAAATTATTTTAAAATTGAATAATTTTGTAATAATCAAATTAGAAATACTTATAAAGTGATTATTATTTTTATAATTTAAGCAATAATTAGATTGGAAATACATCCAAAAGTAATTATTAATACTCAAATATTTTAAATCATTAAATTTATCATTTCTATGTAAATTTAAAATATTTTAAAATAATTATTTTATTATAATCAAATAAAAAGTACATTCGAAATAATTATTATAATTTTATAATAATCATTTATTTTTTAAGAAATATTTTGTTACAACTCTAATTAATAAAAAATAATAATGCATATTTAATAATTTTATAACAAAATATTTTAATATTTGAGGAGATAAAATGATATTTTAAAAAAAAATTAATTATCAATTTACTAACAGTGATCTACTAATTTAAATCCTTTTTAAGAAAATAAGTTTAATCATATTTTTATTTTTATACTTAGAATTTAAACATAATAAAAATATATAAACCCATTATTATTTGAAACTTGTTATTGTTATATTGATCCCAAAAAAAATTATTAAGCCCAATAACTCAAAATATTTTTTAGATTCATTTTACTATTTGAAACCCGTTTTTTATATTTTAACCCCTAAATTCAAATAAATAAGAGTGAGGAAAGGTGAGTCGCATTGACTTGCGATGCGATGGTGTATGAGGCACGACGTAGTGGTAGACGAGACGCTCACGACATGAGTTAAGACTAAGGTCATTAGAGATGGTTTGGTTGGGAGGTGAGTTGGCATTCTGGAGCACGACGATTTGAGAGTGAGAGCAAGTAAAGGCGAAAGAGGGGGAAGATGGGATGCAAAGGTGAAATGATGGGGTTGCGGTGGCCTTGTAAGTAAGGATGAGGGCAGAAGAGGTACAATGGTTGGTTGTCGGTGGCTAAGCTAAAAGCAATAAGGGGGAGATTGATGACAATGTGAAACATGTCTTTACATTTTCAAGAGTTGATTTTGATGATGATTCAAGTCAACAACATTCAAGACTCAAGCAAGCTCAAGATATGATTTGATAAAGATTTTATTCAAGATTCAAGCAAGCCCAAGATGATTCCTGAAGACTAAATAGAGTCTTAGAATACTAGATATGGAGGTACAAGTTGATGAAGTAATATTATGCATAAGACTCCAAAGTACAAGTGTAATAAAATTTCGTAACATGACATTTTTCACTGTCATAATTGATTATGATGCATCAGAATTGAGAAATTGATTTTTACCCCGACATAATCGATTATGCTAAGGAGATAATTGATTATAGCAGTTCGAAATTCAAAAATATATCTGTTTTGAAGAATAAATGTTTTTGAATATATCATGATTTTTATCCATGAAAATATTAATGTCCAACGACCATTTTCTGATGTTATTTTTCTATTTAATTAAGTTTTGATGGAAAATAAAAATACACAATTGTAGAATTCGAAAATACAATTTACATTCAATCAGTTTTGAGAAAAGAATTCTGAGTAAGACAACATAGATATTTTACATATTTTGAGAAAACCCTCTTCTCCATTGCCTATTGTGCTTTCATTGTTAATCACACTTATTCTTTCAGGTTGACATTCTACAGGTTTCTACAATTTGTTGTCTCCATTACCCAGGTGTGACTATTCTTATTTTATTACCTTTATCCTTTTGTGGGTTTAAGATGTTTAAGTTAATCAATGTTATTTTAGGGTTTCCTGTGTGGGGACTGTTCATCCATTTGATTTGTTCAGGGAGATGTTCATCCCTAGTGTGATTCTAGGGAGATGTTCATCCTTAGTGGGATTCTAAGGAGATGTTTTCATCTTTTGATTTGTTCAGAGGAGGTGTTCATCCCTAGTGAGATTCTAGGGAGGTGTTCATCCTTAGTGAGATTCTAGGGAGGTGTTCATCCCTAGTTTGCTTTTTGCTGAGTTGATTATAATTTGTGAACTAAATTTAAACGATAGTGAATTAGGGTCACTCTTATGTTAAGAGTTTATTGGGAACTGGATGTAGAGTTGACTATACTCGAACCAGTATAAATTATTGTGTGCTTTTCTCTTCCTTATACATTTGTGATAACATCAACTTATTTCCTTTCCCTTATCTTTCTGATTATTTCACTTCTGCTATATCTATTCAATTTAATAATTAAAATTGAATTAATAAATATTGGACATCTTAAAATAAATTTTTATTTTGGCATCTATTTTAATTTGTATATCTATTCACCCCCTCTAAATGTCATTTGTCTAACATAAGCCACACGACATGACTAAGGTTTATGGTGATACTTTGCATGGTGGCTAAGGTTGAGGGCAAAGATAACGAAACCACAAAGTGGAGATGGTTTGGGGTGAAAGGGTGGCTAGCATAAGGTGGTTTGTGGCGTCAGAGCTGAGGGAGGAGGTTGCAAGGATTTGGGTGACTTTGATGGGCTTGGTGGAGATGGTGCACAAAGGTTAGGGTGGAGGTGCGATGTAAATGGGTTTCGGTACAGGTCAGATCCAACAAGATGAATTGTTGGTCGGTTTTGTGGTAAGATGGTTCTCTAACTTATTTGATTAGGTTGATGTTGTTGTTCCCTATCTTATCTTGTTTATGCTTTTATCGTGTTTATTCATCGTTTTTGAGGATTTTTACACAATTTCAAGAATAGGATGGCTATAGTTGGAAGGTGGTGTATTGGAAAGAGAAAAGCTGAAAATGACACTGGTAACCTGCGAAGGAGAAAGGAGGGAGCATGTCTTTCATTTTACTTTTTATTTATTTATTGTATTTTGTTTATCATTATTATTATTACTAATTACTTTTATATTTTGGGACTTTATGAAGAAATGAGATGCGTACACTTCCCCATATTTAATTAAGTTTTAGATAATTTGAATAATCTCAATTTTTATATTATCATAATAAAACATAATTAAAGAGTGAACATCAAACTTTCATTTAAAAGTAGAGAAAATTGAACAAATAAAGATTGACTATTTAGCAAAAAATGCATGGAAATTTTATACTAAAGATCAACACCAAAATTTAAAAGAATATGTAAGTTGAGTAACTTCAAAACTTGTGATTAAAATGTTGAAAACTTAAGAATGAGCTTAGGGATTCAATATAAAGTTTGTGATTTAAAATGTCGAAAACTTAAAAATGAACTCGAGAGCCCAATATCTTAAAAACTTAGAAGTGAAATCTAGGATCCAATATAAAATTTGTAATTTGAAATGTTAAAAACTTAGAAATGGACTCAGCGTCTAATATAAAACTTGTGATTTAAAATGTTGAAGACATAGAAATGGACTTGGGGTCCAATATAAAGTTTGTGATCTAAAATGTTGAAAACGTAGAAGTTGACTAGGGGGTCCAATATAAAATTTGTGAAAAATTTGCAGGGACCTAACATCTTCTTTATGTTTTTATCCATTGCTTCTATTGCCCCATCTATCTTCGGACAATATGGTAATCAATTGTGATGTTGAATCTTAAAATTATCACACAATTTTTTCATCATCTTGTTATTTAAATTAGTCTCATTGTCAATAATGACATTGTTTGGCAAACCATAACGACAAATTGAATCCTTCTTAATGAACTTAATTACTACATTCTTTGTCACATTGGCATATGATACTGCTTCGACCCATTTAGTAAAATAATTGATTGCCACTAAGATAAAATAATTCTCATTCGATGCTTTAGGCTCAATTGGTCTGATTACATCCATACCCCACATTGCAAATGGCCACATTACAGTCAAAACATTTAAAAATTATGTTGGTGCATGGATATTATCAGCATATGTTTAACATTTGTGATATTTTCTTACATAATTACAATAATCACTTCCCATGGTTAACCAATAATAGCTAGCTCTTAAGATTTTCTTTGTCATTGTATGCCCATTTGCATGTGTTCTAAATGAACCCTCATGAACTTTTTTCATTATTTTCTTAGATTTCCTTTGTCATTTTCTGAAGCATTAGGAGGATATTTTCTATCTTTCAAGTAACCTTTGATATCATAGAACCATAGTTTTCTATCTGGTCCTTCATGTATTGTTTGACAATATATTGATTGCTCTTAATGACACATTTTTTATTAATGTCATATCCTATTCTTGGGTTATTTTGAATATTGAAGATAAAGTAGCTAAATATTAACTAACTGATTTTTCTCATAAGGAATATTGTGGAAAGTTGCTTCATTAAATGACTTTAACAATCCCTTAATATAAGAGTGATATGAGACTAATTTTGAATCTCAAGTCTCTCATTATCCTTTAAGTTGATGGATAACTTAAACACCTTAGCCTTCAATTTAAGAGTTGTTAGTACTCCTCTTGCACATACTTCATATTCTGCCATATTATTTGTACAATCAAAATCTAATATTACAATAAATAGGATAATTTGATTTTTAGGAGAAATCAACATTGCACCAATTTCATGTCCTAATGCATTAGATGCCTCATCAAATAATAAAGTCATTTTTTCTTTGTTTACAATTTTTCTTTCTTCAAACAATGTCAATATGTCCTCGTCTGAGAATTCATGTTGTATCGACTAATAATACTTTATGAGATTATGGACCAAGAGATCTATTATAACACTGCCTTTAATAGTCTTTTGTGTTACATAAGCAATATAATACTTTGATAATAACACTTGTCATCAAGTAATTCGACTAGTGAGGGCAAACTTCTAAAATATATACTTGATCAGATCCATTTCAGACACTATCCAAGTAATGTGATACAATATGTATTATCTTAGTCTATGAGTAGCTCATGCCAAAATACAACATGTTTGTTCCAACAAAGAGTATCTCATTTCAAAATCTGTGAATTTTTTGCTTAAATAATAGATGACATGTTCTTTCTTGGCGAACTCATCATGTTGCCTAACCCACACCCCATGGATTTTCAAGTACTCTTAAATACATAATGAGGGGTCTCCCTTGTACTGGTGGCACGAAAACATAAGGTTTTGTAGATATTGTTTGATTTTCTCAAAAGCTTTTTCATAATCTTCATTCTAATGAACTGTTTGATTCTTTTGTAATAATTTGAAGATTGAATCACAAGTATCAATCAACTTAGATATAAATCTAGCAATGTAATTTAACTTTCCTAAGTAACCACAAATCTCTTTTTTTGTAATAGGGACTGTCATTTTAACAATTGCTTGTACTTTATCCAGATCAACCTTATGCTCTTTTCACTCACAAAAAACCTTAATAATTTTATTGACTTTGCAAAAAAAAAAAAACATATTTTAGATTCATTTTACTAATTCAAAATTGTTTTTATTATTTTCACCCTTAAATTCAAATAAATATTGAGAGCCATATCTATCTTAAGTTCATAACTTAACCTAATCCTAATACACCTCACTTAAGCCGATTGAAAGAAGGGGTAGCTACATACCATAAAATGGAGAGATGAGAGTGAGCCACAATTACTCGTGGTGTAGTGGTGGATGAGGTGTGATGTGTTGATGGATGAGGTGCATGTGACACAGGTTAAGACTGGGGTCGTTGGAAATGGTTTGGCTAGGAGGTGATTGGCTTTCTGGAGCGTGAAAAATTGGGAGTGAGGGTGAGTAAAGGTGAAGGAGGGTGAAGATGGGATGCGAAGGCGAGGGTGAATTTGTAAGCGAAATGGTGGGGTTGCAGTGGATTCTATGTTAATGAGCAATTTTTCCAAATCTTCTCCTAACCTTGATTCTATGTTAGGTTATCAAAGAGTGGATTCTAACAAAGTTGAACTTAGTTACAAACCCAAGAAAAGTTTAGAACCTCATAAAAGTATTTTTGTGAAAGAGTCAAGGAAAACAAATGAAAAGTCAATTTTAAGAACTTTAAGAAACTCATTTAGACCTCTTCAAAGAAAACCAACATGTTTTTATTACATGAAATTAGGTCATACATCAAATAAATGTTACATAAAATATTTTGGCATATCTATTGACAAATATGAATGAGTGCCTAAAGAAACAAAACATTTATACATGTCTAGATGATAGTTTGAGCATCTAATAGATTATGAATTTTTGAAAAAAAAATTCTTGCTGTCATCATCGATTATGACATCACCATAATCGATTATGATGGGTCAAATGTGATACTGATAAATTTTCTTACTGTGATAATCAATTATTTTATTTCTGTATGTGTTGTGATAATCGATTATGTTGTCTTCCAAAGTGCAATTTTTTGCTGTCATAATCGATTATGTTATTTTTGTATGTGTTGTGATAATCGATTATGTTGTCTTCTAGAGTGAAATTTCTTGCTGTCATAATCGATTATGTTGACTCTAAAGGTGCTGTGATAATCGATTATGATAGAAAACTTTTGAAAGTTTGAAAAAAAAAATTTAATTACATCATGGTTCTATTCTTGTATCCTTAGTCTTTTGGCAGAGACTTGTGATTCTACTAACTTTTTAAGGACCTAAAGATGATGAAAGAGTACCTAGATTTGTATGTTGATATTACAAATGATTATCAAGAATAAGAAATCAATGCAGGTTATTGGAGCCAAATGGATGTACATAAACAAGCTAGATGAGCAGAGAAATATTACAAAGAATAAGGCAAGATTGGTTGCAAAAGGATATAGTCAAGAAGAAAGAATTGATTATGATGAAATATATGCACCAGTAGCAAGATTGGAAGCTATTCGGATTCTACTAGCCTATGCATCGATCAAGAAATTCAAATTATATCAAATGGATGTGAAGAGTGTCTTCTTAAATGGATACATCAAAGAGGAGGTGTATGTGTGTCAACGTCTTGGCTTTAAAGATTATCAACATCCAGATCATGTTTATAAATTAAAGAAAGCTCTATACGGACTCAAACAAGCACCTAGGTCATGTTATGAACGTCTAAGCAATTTTTTGGACTGCAAATCAAACAGAAGACCGACAACATCTTCATTTCACAATCAAAGTACTGTACTGAATTGATCAAGACATTTGAATTAGAACATTCAAAGGAAGCAACTACTCTAGTGACAACATCTTGCTATCTAGATCAAGACGAAAAATGTAAGGCGGTTGACAAATCCAAATATAGAGGTATGATCGGTTCCCTACTTTATCTTACAGCAAGTAGACCTGATATTATGCATAGTGTGTGTGTCTGTGCTAGATTTCAGGCTAATCCTAAGAAATCACATTTAGTTGCTGTTAAGAGAATTTTTAAATACTTAAAAGGAACTAGATCATTTAGCCTTTGGTATCCCTCAGGAGCTTCACCTAGCATTATAGGACATTCAGATTCAAATTATGGAGAATGTAAACTGGACAAGAAAAGTACAAGTGGGACATGTCATCTACTTGGTTGTTCACTTGTTTCTTGACATTATAAGAAACATGCTTATGTTGCTCTATCCACAACTGAACCTGAGTATATAGATGCAAGTAGTTGTTGTACCCAAGTTCTATGGATGAAGTAGCAGTTAGAAGATTACAACATTTTCCTAGATCATATTCCTTTAAAATGTGATAGTACTAGTGCAATAAATCTTACTAGGAACCCAATCATACATTCTAGGACTAAGTATATAGAGATCAAACATCATTTTATTATAGATCATATTCAAAAAGGAGATTGCATAATAGAATACATAGATATCACCTATCAATTAGCTGATATCTTTACCAAACCATTATCTAAAGATAGGTTTTATGAGTTAAGAAAGGCTTGGGTATCCTAGATATTGTCTTCTTAATATGATGTTCTTCTCTATGATACTTTGTGATGCATTATCTTCTTTGCCTTGATTTATGTACTAATCTGTGCAAATTTGTGCTAAATTTCCCTTGCAATATTTTTCATAATTATCAATAAAACAGCTTATCTTATAATATATTTTTTTATTATCAATGACACAGGGGGAGATTTTTAATTAATTAAAATTTGTATGAAATCTATGTTAGGATCGAACACTTACCACTAGGCCAAAAGCTATAGTCCTTAGTCAAAGCCCAAGCGTCATGATTCGATTGTGACTCAGCCCACCCGACCTCCGTCACGGGACAATTGATGTTACCTGCAACAATGTCCTCCTCAGCAATTGTCCTAAGGAATCCCACTCTTGGATTATGACTCGGTCCACCCGGCCTCCGCAATGGGACAATTATGAAACCCACAACAATCTTCCCCTTAATAATTGCCCACCAGGAACCGAACTTGTGACCTTGGCTCTGATACCAATTGTTAGGATCAAGCGCTTACCACTAGGCCAAAAGTTATAGCCTTTAGTCAGAGCGCAACTCTTTTTACTTAAGAGTAACAACCCAAGCGTCACGATTTGATTGTGACTCGGCTCACTCGGCCTCCGCCACGGGACAATTGATGTTACCTGCAACAATGAGTTTTGATGAAAAATAAAAAAGAAACAATTATAGAATTCGAAAATTCAATTGACATTCAATCAGTTTTGAGAAAAGAATTCTGAGTAAGGCAATATAACACTTTTAGGTTTTCTAAGAAAACTTTTTCATATTGTCTTCTGCGTTTTCACTGTCAATCACACTGTGTTCTTAGAGTTATCATTCTACAAGCTTCTATAATTTATTGTCTCCATTACCCAGGTGTGACTGTTCTTATTTTATTGCCTTCATCCTTTTTAGGGTTTAGGAAGTTGATGTTAGATTCCATGTTTAGGATTTAAGTGGTTGCTGTTAAATCCCCTTTTTATGGTTTAAGTGGTTGCACTATTTCTTGAGCAATGTGTTTTTGTTTGGAGTTTCTACTGTCATCCCTTTGATTTATTCAGGGAGGTGTTGTCATCCTTTGATTTGTTCAGAGGAGGTGTTCATCCTTAGTGAGATTCTAAGGAGGTATTTTCATCCCTTTGATTTGTTCGAGGAGGTGTTCATTCCAAGTGTGATTCTAGAGAGGTGTTCATCCTTTGTGTGTTAGTTGCAAAGGAGGTATTTTTCATCCTTTGATTTGCTCAAAGGAGGTGTTCATCCGTAGTGAGATTCTAGGGAGATGTTCATCCTTAGTGGGATTCTAAGGAGGTGATTATCTTTTTAATTAGTTTACTCTTTACTGGTTCCTCTGCTGAGTTGATTGTAATTTGTAAACTAAATTTTAAAGATAATGAATTGGGGTCACTCTTGTGTTAGAGGTGACTGAGAACTGGATGTAGAGTTGATTATATCCAAATCAATATAAATTACTGTGTGTTCTTTTCTTTACTTTATGACTCTTGACTTTTGTTTTTCCTATATATGTGCAGTTGTATTTTGTCCTATACCTTACTGATTATATCACTTCCGCTTTATCTAAATTCAATATGATAAATAAAATTGAATTAACAAGTTATTGGACATCTAAATTAAATTTTTAATTTGACATTTATTTTAATTTGTGCATCTATTCATCTCCCCTCTATATATCATTTGTCTAACACCTTGTAGGTAAGGGTTAGCCGTAGGTAAGGGTTAGGACAAAGGAGGTGTCATGGTTGTTAGTGGCTAAGCCATGCGGCATGGCTAAGATTTGCAGTGGTACTTTGCGTGGTGGCTAAGGTTAAGGGCAAAGATGAGGGAGTTGCAGAGTGGAGGTGGTTTGGGGTGTGATGGTGGCTAACATAAGGTGGTATGTGGTGTCAGAGTTGAGGGAGGAGGCTGAGAGGATTTGGGTGGCTCAAATGGGTTTGGTTGCATGGCTTGATGGATGGTGGCGCATGACAGTTAGGGTGGAGGTGCGATGGAGATGGGTTTCAGTACACGCCAGATCCAACATGAATAATCATTAGTAATTTTTGTGGTAAGATGGTTCTTTGACTTATTTTATCAGGTTGATGTTGTTGCTATTGTTTGATTTGTGGATTGTGCCTCTGGATTCAAAAGATTGATAGGGTATTGAAATTGTGGGGTTTGAGTGGGAATGGAAAAAGGGAAAGTTGAAATTGGGAGAATAACGTAGTCGTAGCCGAAGTGCAATGTTTGAATATTATCTTTAGTTCATGGATACAGATAGATACAAAGTTTTTGTGTCCTTGATTCTTAAGCGTAGTGCTTCTTTACTAATGTTTCCTATCAGTACTAGTATTTTAGGGTTGACCTAACCCCATAAATATAGGTATAACCTTTCACTTAATACTAGAAACCATTTCTTTCTTAATGATCTAATGATTTTAAAGCATAAGATAAACTAAAAGTATTAGATCAAAACAAATAATATAAAATGAGTATTATATTATTGATGATAACACGAGCATGCATTACATTATTATCAACATTGGTATATTGAATAAATTGTTTGGAGCGCTCAAATTTTCGAGGGTTACAAAATTTCAACCTCAGCTTCAACTTTATATCACCTCTCTTTTTCATGTGTTGTTTGTGCTTTTATCGTATTTTTTCTTTTGAATCTTTTTATGTATTTTTTCATCCTTTTGAGGATTTGGATCATTAAAATGATATGTGAAATGTGATGATTAGAGTATTATTTTATTCAATGGATTGCACAATTTCAAAAATAGGATGACTATAGTTGTGAAAGGTGGTTATGAAAGGTGATGCATTGAAAAAAAAATCTAATTACGCTAACCATTACAGTCGGTATCCTAAATTTGTCTATTAACAGATATGACATTAATGTGCATCACTGTGCATCGCTGTCATGCCAAGCTAAATATGAAAAAAATTAATCATGTAGAATCATGGCATGATACGGTATTTGTAATCGTATATTCTATGTTTATCACCCTCCCTCAAGATGGAGTATGAAGGTTATGAATGCCCAACTTGCCTAAAAAAGAACCAAATTTAGTGGCGCCAAGAGATTTGGTGAAGAGATCAGCCAGTTGATGATGAGTGGACACATAGGAGGGTTGGATATGATTGTGTTGTATTTCATCACGAATAAGATGACAATCCACTTCAATATGTTTTGTCCGTTCATGAAACACAGGATTCTTGGCAATGTGAATGGCGGCTTGGTTGTCACGAGTAGAGAGTCATAGGGTCGGTGTGAGTAATGCCTAGGCTCGAAAGAAGGCCTTGAAGCAATTTCAACTCACATGTCGTGTTGGCCATAGAACGATATTACTGCCTCGGCGGATGATCGAGAAACCGTATGTTGCTTCTTGGTTTTCCAGGAAACGGGGATTGACCAAGGAAAATAAACCAACCGGTGAGAGATCTTCGAGTGAGAGGACAACTTGCCCAGTCCAGAGTCACACCAACCATAAAGACGAAGGTCACTCTCTCTTTTTAAAAGCACACCCGACCCGGGCTGCCCTTTAAATAGCGTACCACGCGAGTGTATCCGCCAATGCTCCTGACGCGGTTGGTGCATGAATTGAGATAGGACATGAACACTATAAGATCATTCGAGTCGTGTAAAACACAAGTAAATAAGGCGACCGAGCGAGACGTCGATATTGACTCGAGTCGGAAAGTAGTTCGTCATCGGCCAATGCTAAACGATGATTTTCTTCGATTGGCGTGGACACGAGTTTCCCTCCAAGCAATCCTGCTTCAGCTATGATGTCCAACGCATACTTACGTTGACACAAGAAAATTCCTGTAGGAGATCGACAACCTCCACCCCAAGAAAGTATTTTAATTTCCCTAAGTCCTTCATACGAAAACATTGATGAAGATAATCTTTGAATTGCGCAATGTCTTTATGATGATTACCAACAATGACTAGGTCATCCACGTAAACTAACACAACCGGTTCGACATCTCCTTTGCGAAAGATGAACAAGGAGTGATCAGACGAAGAACGTTGAAACCCATATTGAACAAGAGCGGTTGAGAGCTTGGCAAACCAACACCGAGGAGCTTGACGAAGACCATAAAGGGACTTGCGGAGACGACACACCATACCCTTTTGAGACACCAAGAACCCTGGCGGCATTTTCATGTACACATCTTCCTCAAGATCGCCGTGCGAGAAAAGCATTATGGACATCCATTTGATGGAGTTCCCGGTCTTTGGCTCCTGTCACTTGCCAACATCTGTCCGAATGGTGACCATCTTTGCCATCGGGGCAAAGGTCTCGTCATAGTCAATCCCCTCAACTTGGTGATTTCCCAAGACAACTAATCGGGCTTTGAAGCGTTCAACGCTCCCATCAGAATGATATTTGATTTTATAAATCCACTTGCAACCCGGAGGCTTCTTCCCTGCTCGGTAGAGGAGTAATGTCCCATGTTTCATTACTTTGGAGGGCCTGAATTTCACTAGCCATGGCATCTCTCCATCTAACATCCCGAACGGCTTCAAAGAAATGCACGGGTTCTCTCTCGCATGAAGGGCTGCAAGAAAGGTTCGGTGGGGGAAGGAGAATTTAGCACAATTTAAGTACTTTGTCAAACTGTAAGGCATACCTGAGGAAGCTGAATGTGGAGTGCGAATTGAGGGACCAGAGTTGTAAAGTGGTGTTAGTGACATAATCACGAAGCTTCACGGATGGCTTTCGTACACGAAGACCTTTCCCCAGGGATGCAGGGACAATATGCTCCTCGGGAACCTCTAGTTCTCGTCATCATAGAGTCGGTTTGTTCGGTGGGAGAACGATCCGGGTGGGAGGCTCTTGTTCATGGCATTCGGCGTGGCCCTCCCTGAACTCGGTTGTGGGCACATCTTCTGTTGTGGGGTTAACGTCATCGGTCTCCACAACGTGTTCTGCATTGTTCATTGCACCAAGTCCAGGCAATGCTTCCTCGACAATGCCAACATCAACAGTAGGCAATCCTACCTCTGAATGTCTACTGTGGGCAAGAGAGGCAAACGGGAATTCATGTTCTACAAACTTAACATCTCTCGAAGTCCAGAAGACTTCTCTTTCCAGATCAAACAATTTCCAGCCCTTTTTTTCGATTGAATATCCAACAAATACATTCTTGCGACTTCTACTTGCAAATTTGTCACCTTTCCTATCTTGGTTATGTGCATAACACAAGCATCCAAATACCCGTAGATGGTCATAAGTGGGTGGCTTCCCATTCAATATTTCATATGGAGTTTTTCCATGGAGAACGGTTGAGGGTGTACGATTGATCAAGTATCCTGCGGTCAAAATGCATTCTCCCCAGAATTGAAGTGGAAGTTCTCCCCGAAATCGTAGAGCACGAGCTACATTTAGGATGTGTCGATGTTTTCGTTCGGCTCTCCCATTTTGCTGAGGTGTTCCGAGTGCATGAGGTTTGATGGAGTATCCCATGGTGCTTGAAAATATCGTTGAAGACACATAAACTCAGTTCCATTGTCACTTCGTAATATTTTGACTTGTTTCTCGTATTGTCGTTCTATTAAGGCGATGAAATGCATTAAGGTTTGTGACACATCTTTCTTATTATTCAAGAGATATATCCACACGGCTCGAGAACAGTCATCAACCAAAGTGAGAAAGTAAGATGCACCACAAGACGAGGGAGTTCTATATGGACCCCATAAATCACAATGTATTAAATCAAATATATTGGATGCTTGAAAATCACTTAAAGGAAATGTGTTTCTGCATTGCTTTGATCTCTCACACACTTCACACACACGAGTTGTATCCAGTATTTCTATTCACGCTGTTCGGATGCGGAATTTTTCTAACAATCTGGTAGGCAGGATGTCCCATTCGCTTGTGCCAAATCTCTAGTTGATTTTCTGCATTGGTCCGATACGCCTTTATGCCACTCACACCACGATACCAATAGAGTCCCTCTTTTCGTTCACCCGCTCCAATCAGCATCCTCGAAGTGTGGTCCTGCATTGCACAAAATCTATCGAGTAAAATGTCCTGTACATTTTACTTCATTCAATCAATTGTGATACTGAAATCAAATTGCAATTCAATTTCGGAACATATAGAACATGTTTAAGTTTCAGTCCTCCATCAAGGAAAACCGATCCTTCTTTGTTTGCCAGCACCAATTCACCATTTGGTAGTCCCACTGGGCACCCTTCCAAGGCTCGACTCTCCCTCAAGTTTTCTAGTGTTCCTGTCATATGATTAGAGGCGCCACTATCAATAATCCACAAGTCACATGCTTTCTTACCAGTCATCTTTTCAGTTTCATTTGCCTTGCGAGAATTCAACATTGCTTGTCAAGATCTGCCATTGCTCATTACTCGATCCTGCGACTTCGGTTTTCGGTTGAACCAACGTTATCCGCACCAGGTGTGCGCCATATTGACGCGAGCCGTTCCTCCTTTTCCTCGGAAGGTTCCTGTTCTTTGTTGATTTTTTTCATCGTTTCTATCGGTTCGTGGTCTCTCTCCCCACCATTCTGGGTAACCAATGATCTTGAAGCAATTGCCTTTGTCATGTCCCTTCCTTCCACACTGCATGCAAACAACTGATTTTTCTTTCGCTTCATTGCGCAACTTGTTCCTGGTTTCCGCTCGCATAGCCATTCCCACGATCATTCCTCGCTCTTCTTTAGACCTGGTGATTGTTCTCACCCTTTCTTCTTGCACCATGGTGCCATACACCCGATTCAACGAGGGTAATGGATCTGTTGCCAAAACATTTGACCGTGCAGTTCCATAGCCCTCATCATCTAGCCCCATCAAGAACTGATGAATTTTTTCTTCTTCTTTTCGTTTCTCAAGTTGCGTCATAATATTACACTTGCATTCCCCACATCTACACTGTGGGATTTGCTCGTAATTTGTCAGTTCATCCCACAACGTTTTCAACTTCCCATAATAGGAAACCATAGTCATTCCTTGTTGTTTGCATTCTGCCAACTCTGACTTTAGCTGCTGGATTCTTGGTCCGTTCACGATCGAGAATCGTTCCTTGATGTCATCCCATAGGTCCTTTGCGTTTTCCATGTATGCAACAGTGGAACGCAAACTAGGTTCTA